ATGAAACCACATAAGCATGTCACAGCTCTAACACAACCAAATTTGAATGTCAGAGATTTTCTTTAATCAAAAAGGCTTTCAAATCTTCTTTTTTTAATGTAAACATGAAATTGAGTAGAGAAAATTTTGGAAAACAGCTCCAATTTTGACAAAATTTACTCAGCTTGGCTATGTGTTTGGTGGCTAATCAACAAAATTTTCTGAAATTTTGATGAATGAATTTCTTTTCTTTCTTCAAAGCTTGTAAAAAGCCTAAACTTTTATTGAAGTTGGTCAATTATGAGTTTCGGAAATTAGGAAATTTAGGAAATTTAGGAGAATTAAAATTAAATTATGAATTTCGAAAAATTTCTTCTTTCAGATTTTCTCTTTTCTTTTTCATCTTGTTTTTTGGAATCAAATTTCTTTGGTTTGAATATCGATTGAGATCTGAGGTTAATTTAAAAGATTTAAAAAGCTGAAGATCTACCGCATCTAAAACAACAAGATACATTGAAATAACTGATCCCACAAAACGCCTTCGGTCCTGGACCGTTGGTACTACGCTGCGTAGTATTTGCACCTGGTGCAGAGCTTTTGCCACCCGGTGGCTGCTCACGGAAACTGTTCCGACCTTCAAATCATTTTCAAATCAAAAAGGATCCACTAATCTAGACTGAATATCATAATCTAGACTGAATATCATAATCTAGCCTGAACTCATAATCTAGACTAGATACCGTAATCCCCTAATATCATAACAGAATAGACTGAATATGATAACTGAATATCAATAGACTGAATCTCATAACAATTTAGCAATTAGCTTTCAAGCGTTTCGAGAAAAATTTATGTGATGGGAGAAAAGAATGCGAAATTTTACCGAGATTTTTGGCTTTCAATGTTGGACATCACTTGGTTTGTTGATCGATATGAAATGATTGATTCGAAGAATTCATTTCTCTCAGATTGCTCCCGATTTCAACATCACTCTCTGCGTGATTTTCAAGAATTTCTCCACTGTTCTTCGCTCGATTATGTGCTTTCTTTACAATGCTGAAAGCTATCAAAAAGAAGTGAAAGATCTAATGGATGATAAGTTCGAAATTCGGTGAGTTTTATGTAAATATTCAGTGGTTTCATTTAACATTAAATTCTTTCAGTCACTGTAAAAATAAAAATGAATTCATTGGTGACATTGGTGAGAAGAAGCTTCAATGGTTTGAAAGGGAAAGCGGGAAAATCTTCAATCGATACTCAGTTACTCGTGATCCGATTGAAAGATTTGTATCGGGATTTCTCGACAAATGCCTTTAGTAAGTGAGCAAATCAATTCAGCAATCTAAGTAAGCGCATTTTCAGCTCTAAAAACATCTCTGGTGGATCTTATGAAAATCGAAAGAATCCCTGTGGAAATTGTGGAGGAAATATTACGTGTTTTGGAGAATTTATCTTCTCAGAATTGTCATCTATCGTTCGAACAAATCTAAAGAAATACACGCTGGAAACTGAGCATTTTGCTCCACAAAATTGGTATATTTATTGTATTGTTTTTACAGAGGAAAAATTTAGGAATTGTAATTTCAAAGAAGCTTTTGCAAAATACACGTTTTTCTCGTATTCAACTCCAAGAACAGCTGATTTGTTACAAGAGATTTTTAAAGAATTCTCAAAATTTGGAGTTCCAAACGATTACTACGAGAAGATAAAGAAACAGGTTTTTATTTGATAACAATCTATCAGAATTCTTAATGTCATTATATTGTTATTGGATTGGTGAATTGAAAACTGCGGGCTATTGTCATAAGTGACAGTTTGAGCACTTTCTTCAAAAGAAACCCATTTTGGTGTCATTTTAAAAGTTGTAGAGAATCAAAAATCAAGCTTATATCAAAATTTTCAGAACGATTCGAAAACTGGTTTTCAAGAAATGCCAAATTTACGAATTTTCACAAAGCTTGCCTTTTAAGCGAAACTACTAAGTGTATCTTTCTGGAAATTTGGCTATAAGCCTAATTTTTGATTCTCTACAACTTTTCCATTGACACCAAAATGGGTTCCTTTTGAAGAAAGTGCTCAAACTGGGACATCTCCAGTCCTCGATTTTTGAGTCTCACACTTGTCTCACACACAAACCAAAATCCTACTACGAAAGAGGAATCCGCAAATTGCCTGTAAAATGGGCAGAAGTCGTCAATAATAATGGAAATTATTTGGAATGAATTGATGGTTTTATGTTGAATAAATTTTAGTTCAAAGTCCGGTAGTTTTCAATTCACCAACCCAATAGATAAAAATAGAACAAAAATTCGGAAGATCTTCATAAGATATTCATAAGATCCTAAGTCAAAAAGTTCCCAAGATCAATCATTGAAATTGAAGAGGTGCAAGAATTCCATTCCACTTTTAATGCAAGAATTCCATTCCATTTTCAATTCACCAACTCAATATTTCAGGTTCTCAACAGATATTCCTATCATCACACTTATAGCTCTCCATTGAGAGAACATTATATGAAAAAGATTGAAAATGATCATCATTTAAAGAAATTATTAATTTTATTGTATTTTCATGATTTTGTCCTATTTGGTTATCAAATGCCAGTGATATAAAAGTTTCGTTACAATTCTTTTCCCAGTTTTCTTTCTCAAAATTCTCAAATTCATTCATTCACAAAGACTAGCTTATTAATAAGTTTGTACAGTAGATTTTAAACAAATTTTTCAAAAGATATCATCATTTTTCAATTCTCCATGTGTTCTTCTAACATGACTGTCGTGGGCTGCATGTGAGGCAAAAGCTTTCCCGCATTGAGCACACTAAAAAAACAGTTAAGTTCTACCTTGGATCAAATCAAAACAAATCAAATTCTACCTTGAATGGTTTCTCTCCACTATGTTGTCTAATATGAGTTCGTAGAATTGATGAAGCAGTGAAAGCTTTTGGGCAAAATTGGCATTTGTATGGTCGTTCGCCAGAGTGGACACGGAGATGCTAAACGATTTTGCTGATAACTTTGATTCTGATTAGGGTGTGTTCCTTTCAAGAAATAGTACAAAATAGAAAACGAACGTATTTAAAATGAACTGAATATCTTTTAGATTGTAGAAGATTGTCAAGATATTCAGTTGATTCCTATCGTAACCCGTTTCCCATTCAGTACTATTTCTTGAGAGGAACACACTCTGGTTCTAATCTTTACTGATCTTTATGGATTGATGCTTATTTTTTGATTCTGATTAGAGTATGTTCCTTTCAAGAAATAGTACAAAATAGAAAACAAATGTATTTTAAATAAACTGAATATCTTTTAAATTGTAGAAGATTGTCAAGATATTCAGTTGATTCCTATCGTAACCCGTTTCCCATTCAGTACTATTTCTTGAGAGGAGCACACTCTAGTTCTAATCTTTACTGATCTTTATGGATTGATGCTTATTTTTTGAATTCATCAATTTCAAAGATTTATTTTACTAGTTTACCTTATTTAGACTACTGCTTTGTGAGAAGGCTTTCCCACAAACAAAACAAACATGCGGGCGATGATTCTCGTGAACATGTAATACATGAATCCGAAGACGATCTCGTTTCTCAAATGATCTGAAAGCATCTGAGGTTATCGGACATTTGATAAGCCCCTTTTTGCCATTGACAATCTAACTTTAAGCTCAAATATCATGGCTTTGGGCTTTCCAATTTCAAAATTCTTGGTGTCATTGAATGCACCAAGTATTTCTCTGTCGATTTGTACAAAAACTATTTAAATTGGACAGCCCAACACCAAGATATTTGAGCTCAAAGTTGGATTGCCAATGGTAAAGGAGCGGGGCGCGTATAAAAGGTCTGCCACCCCGCCGCTTTTGCCATTGGCAATCTAACTTTAAGCTCATATTTCTTGGTGTTGAGCTGTTCAATTTAAACCTTCTTGGTATCATTGGATACGTCAAGTCTTTCTCTGTCGATTGGTACATAAACTATTTAAATTGAATAGCCCAACACCAAGATATTTGAGCTCAAAGTTGGATTGCCAATGGCAACGGGCGCGTATCAAATGTTCCCGATCCAAATGTGACAAAATTCCTTTAAAATTCCACAATTTCCTGTCAGTTTCTACATCAACCATTTCCTCTCAAATCTCACCCACCCACTTGCCCTTTACCCTCACTTTTCTCGATACAAATAGTCTCTGTTTCACTTCAACCACAAGTGGGACTCCCGTCAAACGTGTTCCCTTCTCTTTTCAATAATGTACGTGTCAATGAAACTCTCAATTGCTCATTCAAACCATAAGTAGTGACACAAATATGATATTTCTCTAGATTCTCAGGTTCTCTAGGCTCTAGGTTCTCAGGTTCTCTAGGTTCTAGGTTCTCAAGTTCTCAGGTTCTCAAGTTCTCAAGGCTCTAGGTTCTCAGGTTCTCAGGTTCTCAGGTTCTCAGGTTCTCAAGTTCTCTAGGCTCTAGGTTCTCAAGTTCTCAGGTTCTCTAGAATTGAGGAAATTTAAATCTAAGAAGTTAAACGTAGAATGAAAACTAAAACTTAACTTATTACTTATTAAAAATTATACCTTGAGCAACTCGTGCACGGAAATTTTCGGTCTCCCTGGTCGACGCATCGGGTGTACTTAAGGTGTTTGTCTCGATAATATTCATAGCTGAACACTTTCCCACAACGAGGACATTCGAACCCTTTGCCATCTGAAAATTTTGAACACGTTTTCAAAGTAAATTCTTGTATTTCAAAGGCCTAAACGGAACCTGAAAGAGTCCTCAAAAAGCTCATTTCACTGCCTCTTGAGGAACCCTAATCTCACGATTCTAATGAGCTCAGCTCAGCCGAGACCCTTATTTTCTGAATTCATCATCAAAAAAGGAAACTACAGTAGGATTTTAAAGTTTCTACCTGCAGCAATAACATCCTCAAAAATGGGAACTTCAGGAGGACTTTCACTCAAGATTTCATCGTCAAATCGTGACAGATTTGAGATCGAAAAGTTCAGCGTTTTTGCCTAAACAAATTGGCTTTAGGATAAAGTGATTAAAAACCTTATGATCAGTGAGATTTAAAGGAGATGGAGTTCTTGATGGATTTCGACTTGAGAGAATGATTTCCTGTCCACATTCAATTTTCATGAGTACTTTCAAACCATCACAATTGGCCAGTTTTGAATCCACTCGACATTGTGATCGCCAACCGGATGAAAGCTGGAGACAAAATTGTGAACAAGTTTACAAACATTAAATCAGTAAAGCACTTGTTTTAAGATTGTGACAATGACAAATTTTATATGGTTTTACTTCGAGACTTGCTTCTGGAAGAAAACCATGTTCATCAATACAAAGCACTGTTGAAAGTTTCTTTTCACCAAACGATAGTTGAATTCGGAGTAATCCAGGTTGAAGAGAGAGTGGTTCAGTGTCTAAAATTCTAATAAATCTACAAGGAATTGATGATTACCTGGTTCAGAAGCTTGAAAGATCAAAGGTTTCTCTTGGCAATTTAAACCAACAATTGTATTTCCAATGACTTCTTTGATTTGATTTACTGAATTTAAAATAGGTAGCTGATGAGTAAATGGGGGAAATGAAATGTTTCTAGGCATTAGAAAAGGATTCCAGAATGGGAAGACTCCATTGAATGATGGATCGGGGAGTAGACCAAATGGTGGCCTTAATGGGAACATAATGTAATGAGAACAGGTATCAGACGAGTTAATATTTTATCTTCAGATAGAGTAGTGACTTCCTTGAATGGCGGTTTCAATGTTACCGTATTTAGGAAAATAGGCGGGGTCTAAAGTCTAAAGAGAAAGGAGAAAGGAGAAAGGCAAAAAGTCAAACGCCGACCAGTAAGGCTCTCTTCTAAACAATTCTCTGAAAAGTTAAGCACACATAATATTAGAGATTTTAGTTTTAAATACAAAACAAAAGTTTTAAATGTACTTAAAACTAAATCTAAAACAGTTAGCTTTCTTCAAAGTTAGTTTATTGATGTTTAAACACTGATCTTTACAAGAATAGACTAGAATTAGCCAAGAACAATGACAATTTACAACAGTTTACAACAAATTTCTCTATCCATTTACTTTCAAATTCATTAAATTCTTAAATTTCAAGTTTAAAAGCAAATTTCCCATTACTCGGTTACCAAACTTTCTGTTTGATCTCTTCTAATGGGTCAATCTCGAGTACCCAGTACTTACAACAATGTATACAATTCAGTAAACTTCAAGGAAATTTTAGTGTAAATATGTAGCCAATTCTTCAATTCTTCTTCAAAATACGGTAGCCAAGGGTCTCTTCCTTTCCTCATTTTGTCGATGGGATCCCGATGCTCGCTTTGGTAATTGCATTATGCACATTACTCCCATTTTTCTCTTTCTCTGCACTCCTATTATCCCGAAAGGCTTTAACAGTTGACTTCCTTAAAAAGAGTCTTTAGAATAATTTTGTTAGATCTATTTGTAATTCAGCAGAACAAAGACAATTGAAAGGACAAGTTTAGCTAGAAATTATAACCAAAATGTTATTTCAAACAGCTATTTCAAACAGCTATAAATAAGCTAAAGTTCGACTTTAAACTCAAGCTTTATTCTACTAAAGATCTGATAAATCTTTAAAAACAATGAACAGTAATATGAATGTGTCTGAGTTTTATGACATTACGCAACACCGTAAAACGATCGGGGTGTCAAGAAAGGAAGAGAGTCAATAGTATCCGGACAGATGTAGGCAAAGGAGATAGGGGTTCATTTCTAGAATCTCTTCGATATAACCACTCGGATGTGTTCATCTCTTCCCATTTGGATGGCTCTTCGATTCGGGACTTAATTGAAGCCCATTCTCATCCTCTTGGCCCCATCAACCAATACGTAATTGTTCTCTGTGTTTAGGGTGTTGTCCATATTGACACCAAAAGACAATCCCTTGATCAAGAAAGCACATGGTGTGAAATTTCCGTTAGCTAACTTGTTAACTTAATGAATTTCTTGTTAACTTGTTAACTTAATGAATTTCTCGGTGATAAAAATGTCATTGTCGTAAATGTATTGAAACAAAACTTAAATTTTAGCTTTTTTTCGACATTGGATTTGATTTTTATTTGCGAAAATCGAAATTTAACAATATTTTGTAAAATGTTATACCAAAATTAACAAAATTTAGCCATTTATTGAATCTAAGTCAGGTTTTATATCGTTTTTAAACTTTAAACTTAGATGAAACCTTTCTCGTAGTTAAATTCCATAATTAAACGCCAAAATTTCAAAGTTTTATTAAAAACTAACTTTCAAAACAACAGACAAACTCTCAATTCCCAAGCATCATCTGAATTACTAGCTCTATTCGAGATTACTACATCAGCCGCAGGAGAGTTGCCATTTGATATAGCCAATTTTTGATTTCCTTGTTGCCGTCTTCTTCTCGACATGATCATTATTGATATCAAAAAGCCTGAAAATGAAAAAAAATAAGCAATTGTAAGGCTTTTTTGACCAGCTAATGTCAACACAATCAATCCAATTCCAATTCCCAGAGCTATTCCTGGAATGATCACTTGCACCATCTTGATGTAATTGATTGCATATTTTTTCAAATCCACTTGAATATTCACCCAAAATGAGGGCATTATAGCGTTCGGAGCGTTACTCAATAGTCTAAAAACTTTCATTATTGAAATTTTAAAAGCTTTACGTGAAATGTTTATTGTGATAGATGGGAATTGAAAGTTGCATCCGGAAGAAAGCTTTCAAAGCAGAACCGGTCATCTTAAATATTGTCATTGTTTTTATAATTGATCATGATACTAGTTTGAACTTTAATAATTTCAGATAAAGTACCGGATTGATGTAGAATTTGGCCGGTTCGTGGAGATCTGGATCTGGTGCCAAGCCCTTCATCGATGTGGTCACCTAGAAGTAATAAAGTAAAGTAAGGAATGTCAAAGAAAGATTTCCAGAGAGGGGATCGATCCCTCGATCTTTTTTCCTTTCCAGGCAGATGCTCTAATCATTGAGCTACCGTAAATACTGTAATAGTACCCCACCCCCTCGTACAGTCGCGTAGTTTAGTTTTTTAGTATTTCATTTTTTTTCAAAGCGCCCATACTTTCAAAAAATGCGTCTTTGGTATCAAAAAATAGCCCTGAATTTCAGCTATTTTTTGATACCAAAGCGCGCATTGTAGCATAAACCAGTGTCGAGAAACACTCGTTCAAAGCTAGACTACGCAACACTCCGCACCGTCATTATGGAGCTGGGGTACTAGTACAGTATTTACGGTATCTTCTTTTCAGAGAAAAAGAGGAAAGAGAAAGAATAAGTGAGAATTCAGTTCTTATAAATTTAGATAATCAAATTTGTGTTTAATTTAGATGCTATGAGATTCTAATATTTGCAAAATCAACCTCTGACGGTGATTGGAGAAAGTGTGGCGGTGAAAGAAAGGCGGCGAATGGAGCACGAATCTTTTGACCTTTAAAATCATTTTTTGCATTGATACAAGAATTATATTAAATTAAAGTCTGTAGTCTTGCAGTCTTGTAGCTGATTTGATAAAGAAAAGTTAATGAATACCTGGAAGACATCTTAACGGAACCATTCCCGGTGGCATGAAAACCGTTTTGTCTAAGTAGTGAGTGCCTGAAAATTGATAGAACTTGGAGACTGAGTTTATCAAATCATTTCACTCTTAAACCCTTTAACCAACCGTTACAACAATTTGAACACCAATTTTGACTTGATGTGCAATCAATTGCATGACAACTAGCTGACGCATTATACTGATGATTCGGTCCACAAGGCCAGGTCGGGAAATAGTCCTAAACATACAGAATTTCATTTTTATGCTTAAAAAAAAAACTAACCACAAGTTCCGTATTCTCGTATCTATAGCCACTATTCAGCTGCGTTGTTGTATCGTAATCATAGTTTTCGAGTTTGTAAATGTAGGCTTTAACACCTTTAACAGAATCCTGTTTGCTGTAGGTCATACGGAAAGTTCTGACAATGAGATGAGTGTAAAATCTGGGAATATCAAAAGAAAACCTGCAAGCGTACGATTGAAACATTTTGACTTTATCCGTCTTTTTGAGATTTGCTTTGTTGAAAGATCCATCTAAATGAAGTTTTTGATTAATCAACAAATGGATTGTCTATTTCTAATTTTATTAGGCTATTCCTTTCCGTACTTTCATTTAAAAACAACAAATTTATCAATTAATCTATCGTTTGCTTTAAATGCTTTAAATAAAAATGTTTATTGTTCAATTTTAATGTTGTTTTTGTTGCTTATTGTTCAATTTTCAGTCAATTTTCGGTTCACTTTCACGCAAATTCAAGATTGATAAACGTGTTTTTCGTAAAAATCTATAAAAACCTCTATAAAGAAATTGACTGAATCAAATTCTTTGGAAATTTGGCTATATACTTAACTCTTTATGTTCTATCATTTATCTATTGCTCCACCAAGATTGGTTTCCTTAGCTAAAGTATCTAGACAGCATCATCGAGCCATCTTTTTGACTAACCTATGCTTTTCTCTAAATAAAAAGTGTTTATTGTTCAATTTCCCGTCTTTTTAAGTTAATTTCGGTTCACTTACAACAAAATTCGAAAGTGATAAACGTTGCTTTTCGTAAAAAGCTTTAAAAACTGAATTGGTTGAATGAATTTCTCTGAAAATTTGGCTATATACCTAACGCTTTATGCTCTATCATTTATTTATTGACACAAAGATTGGTTTCCTTTAGCTAAAGTGTCTAAACCGCATCATTAAGCTGCATTTTTGACTACCCGACTTCAAAATTTCAAAAAATCTAAACATAAGACATTTTAAACTCGTTTTAATGTTATTTTGCAGAAAAATCATTGGCTTAATAAAACAATGAAACAATGAAATTTCTAATGAAAGAAACCGTCGTTTAATTGATTTATTTGTTTGTTTTAAACGAAAGTACGAAAAGCAACGAAAAGACTTTCTAAATAGCCTAATAAATAGGAATACTTGTATTCCTATTTATTAGGAATACAAGATAACCATGTAATTTCTAAGTGCTAGACAACTTTGTCAAACGCTTACCAGTCGCTCCAGCAAGATCAGCTGAATACGAATCCCCCCACCAAGCGAGACTCTCATTACCGGCCCATCTGATGATATTCCCCGTCTTGTAAACGTCTTCCTTTCCCGTATAGGCCATATAGTCTTCATCGTGAGAATGATTGTACTAAAAACAGCGATGATTTTATTAGCTTTTCTTCTTGAACCTTTGGAAAGTAGCCCATATATTTAATTGGTGGTAACTGCATTCCCAAGAGTTTTCCGTCCGGTGCCAAGAGTTTTGTCAATTCCGAGTTTGTGAGTGAGATGAATGGATCCGGATATGAGTCGAATAAAACTCCAGCTACAGGAACAATTCTAAATTTGAAATTTGTACAAAATATGAGTCTTTTTCTTACCTCAATGGAGCCTCACCCAAAATCAATGTCAAAAAATCGAGAATAGCAGTGTTCACGGCTATATTTGACAGATTTTGATTTGCCTGGATGAGAGAAAGAACTGACTGAATGAGTTTATTTGTAATTTGAAGTTTAAAAGATTGCTCAAAAAGAAAACAGTGAATCTTGTAGTTTATAGGAATCACTTTTTGTAGTCAAAAGTTTTCTGATAAAGAGTTCCGAATTTTTTTGGATATATATTAAACTTTTTATACTCTATCTTTTATCTATTGACACCAAGATTGGTTAGCTAAAGCTAAAGTAGCTAAAGTATCTAGCTAAAGAGTCTAAACCGCATCATTGAGCCATCTTTTTGACTAACCTATGTTTTTCTCCAAATAAAAAGTGTTTCTTGTTCAATTTCTCGTCTTTTTAAGTCAATTTCAGTTCACTTACAACAAAATTCGAAAGTGAAAAACGTTGTTTTTCGTAAAAATATTTAAAAACTGAATTGGTTGAATGAATTTCTCTGAAAATTTGACTATATACCTAACTCTTTACCTAAAAATCTATAAAAATCTCTATAATGAAATTGACTGAATCAAATTCTTTGGAAATTTGGCTATATACCTAACTTCTTATGCTCTATTATTTATCTATTGCTCCATCAAGATTGGTTTCCTTAGCTAAAGAGTCTAAACCGTATCATTGCACGTTCACGGCTATATTTAGGAGATTTTGATTTGCCTGGATGAGAGAAAGAACTGATTAAATAAGTTTATTTGTAACTTGGAGCTTGGAGTTTAAAAGATTGCTCAAAAAAACAGTGAAGCTTGTAGTTTACAAGAATCACTCTTTGTAGTCAAAAGTTTTCTGATAAAGAGTTCCGAATTTTTTCGGAATTCTTTATCAGAAAACAATTCCGAATTTTTAATCTAATTATCATCATTTTAAGAACTGAGAATTATGGTTTCTGTTTTTCGGACTAAAATAAAAACTCCAAAGATCTCGGTTGTAAAAATTGAGTGTTTCCTTTGATTGATCCATTGATCCTTTGATCTAGCTTTGATCTACCTTTGATCTAGCTTCGATCTACCTTGGATCTAGCTTCGATCTAGCTTCGATCTACCTTTAATCTAACATAAGATCAAAATTCTAACCATATAAGCAGCATTTGGGAGTGTGACCATATCCTGATACGTACAATAATCACAAGATGTACTCTGTTGATAAGAAAATGATTTGTTGTTCATGTAATAAATTCGATTATCGTTTTCTCTCCAATCGATTCCCTCCTTGAACTCCGATTCTCTGGAATTAGCTATTCAGCTATTTCTACTGATAATATAATCATAATATAATAAAGTTTGCTTAAAAAAGTAGAGTAAACTTCAAAAGCTAAATAAATGTTCAAAAATCAACGTGATCCGCTATAAAAAAAGCATGTCAGATCCCTTTTTCTTCTTTATTTGTTTTTAAATAGAATCTAGTCTTTTTTAAACATAAATTTGTTGATTTTTTTTTCTTTAAAACTAACAAAAGGGTGGTCTAATCCTAATTTAATCCTCTCTGTTTTCTCAAAAGTTTCCCCGTCGAATTGCCCATTTTTATCTATGATTTTGAGCGGATTAATCGATAAGTTTGAAAGAAATAAATCCAGTAAAGTCCGTGCACGTGAAATAAAGGGAAAAATTTGCACCCTGTAGGTTGGAATTCGAAAAACCCTGGAGAAGAAGCTTATAGAAAGATCAGAGGAAATTCTTAGACTAATGCAAGGCATAATGCAAACAAGTTTCACCAACTTGTACGAGTAAGGGCCGATCTCAACAAGTGAAGGCATCGCACCCTCATACATAACCTAAAATCTTTTGTTTTTTGCTTGAAAATCTCTTACCTCATCTCTGTTAGTGACGTTGAAGAAATAAAAGTTATAATATTGATCGGCTGGGAATTTACTCCAGTAATGTGTGAGAGTTGGAAACGACCCGTCTTCGCCTCGACTAAAAATCTTTGAATTCTTTTAGATAACTTGCAATAATCTAAAGTTAATGAACAATGAATAGTATTTGATACTGTTCAAGTATCAAATACTGTTCATTCGGCTGAGAGTTTACTCCAGTAATCTGTGAGAGTGAGAAGCTAATGAACATTATTTGATACTTCAATTTAATGAACAGTATCAATTTTCTAAATAATCTTAAGACTTGCAGCTTTAGAATAGATATTAAGCTGTTTAGAAAGTCTTTTCGTTTCTTTTCGGACTTTCGTTTAAAACCAATCATGAGATATTGAATAATAAACACTTTTTATTTAAATTAAACCATTGGTTATTGATAGATTTGTTATTTTTCAATAAAAGTATGAAAAGGAATGAAAAGAAGACTTTCTGGACAGTCTAATATGGGGAATTCAAGGTTTAAGTTTGTCTTCAGTTATCAACTTTGAGAACAAAGTAGTTGAACTTAGCAAAAGTAAGTTTGAGTTTGTTTAGTTTGAGTATAATGTAGTTGCACTTTCAAACATTTAGTACTTTAGAACATTGCTTACAATGACATACTTTGATTGACATTACTTTTGATTGACATTTGATTGACAATACTTTTTTTTACGATGACACTTAATACAATTTAGTACAATTTGATTGCCTTTTTGCTATCAATTCTCAACAAAATCCACAAAGAACCCTCGAAATGTACAAAATCTAGATTTCAATGATCAAAAAGAACACTTTACCTTAAATGCAATTGTGATCTAACAAGCGCTGGGTACACAGCCAAAGGAAATGGCAATAATAGAAAGATTCCTAACAGAAAGAATAAAATAGCTGTGAAAGCCAAGCATATCAACCAGCCTCTACGGACCATCGAGTCTTTCGGAATAAATAGTTAAAAGAAAATTGATGACACGAATAATTGATATCTATTTTTTTCCAGGATCTCGGGACCGTTTTGTGTTGGATCACTGGCACGCTGTCTCTTCTTTCTTATCAGTTTTACTCACACACACACACGCCTTTTCAGTGGAAAATTTCCCTTCATTTCCCATTACATTCCTTTGTGAGGGCCTTCAAAAGAAAGACTCTACTTAAAATGGCCATAAAGAAACGCCTGAATGTTTGTAGGTGAAATGAACTCTATAAAAATGGAGAATGCCATGTGTCAAAGGTTGAAAAGATCAGGAATCAATGGGCAAATTTTACACCCAGATTTGTCCAGATATTCTTGTTAATTCATGCACTAAATTTCCATACAAATCGATAAGCATAAGCCATTTGGCTTATCATTCAATAAGCCAAATCGGTAGTTGTGAATCTGTGCAAGTTTATAGAACTTGGGCTTCTTGTGATTAGGCCTACGGTCATCAGCTCCCCTTCTCATCAGCTCCCCTTCTCATCAGCTCGTTGCGGGATTTTCGGCAGCCTAAAATCTTCAAAGTTTCAATTTTGGGAGACGAATTTATTTTTAACCTATTCTCTGTGATTGTTTTTATTAGTTTCTTTGTTGTTTTACTTTGTTTCAAGTTTATTCATTTTTTTATAGAATGACAAACAAGGGATATGAGCTTCATCGAGCTCTGGAGCTTCATCGTCAAGGTCAATGCGTGCGATCGCATGATTGCTACGTGTTTCTCATCAGCTCGTCTCAAAAGCGATTAAGCGATACAAGGAGCTTGGCAACGATGGAGATCGTCCAGGAAGGCTCACAGATGCGCACATCACATCACAGATGCGCACAAAGGTTGAAAAGATCAGGAATCAATGGGCAAATTTTACACCCAGATTTGTCCAGATATTCTTGTTAACTCATGCACTAAATTTTCATACAAATCGATAAGCATAAGCCATTTGGCTTATCATTCAATAAGCCAAATCGGTAGTTGTGAATCTGTGCAATTTTATAGAACTTAGGCTTCTTGTGCACCGGCCTATTGGCTCACAGATGCGAACATTGAATTACCCGATGAATAAAAGTAATGTATTTTGTCTTATCTATGTGATGTGTGAAGTTTTTGTTTTTAAAAATTCAAAATCCGGTGGGAAAAGGTGCACAAGTATCGCTAAATCTCTTTTACAAAATGATTTTTAATTTTATAGATCTTTTACTGTCAGATTCTTTTTCAAAACGTGGTTTTCGAGGCTTGACCGACTAAAATTTAGTACTTTGGTTGACTTTTTTCTAATCTCTAACTTTAAAACTAAATGGAGATTCACTTTTGGCTATCGAACTCTATTTGAACAGTTTGGCGTTGCTCGACTTGAACTTTATATTTGAACATCTGGAGTAACAAAAAATGTTGGCTATCACGATGGATTTAAGGGGAAGAATTCGGTGAATAATTTGACTTGAGTGATCACATTGGAGCCATGGGACGTCTTCTCGGCCATTTGGCGGCCACCATAATCATCGCTATGGCCATGCAACAAGGACATGCTCAATTCACAGCCTTTTTCAACCCAAGTGCTAACTGTTCCGATGTAAGGCTTAGACTTAGATTGATTAAAATTTGATTTTGATTTGATTCACCCAAAAAACTAGCTAATTTTAAAATTTCCAGACATGCGCCCCGTCTCTTGGATCCATCGCCATTAGACTCTGCAAAGAAGGATTGAGTGGCGGAGGTTGTGGGTGAGTTTTTTTAAAATTAAATTGCCAATTCTATAGCCTATTCAAACACTTCATTTCCAGAGCTGTCACCGATTACATCAAATTTACACCATGTTGCGGAAATGCAACTGCAAGTTGGAGTGATTGGGGTGATTGGGGAAATTGCACGGCCACGTGTGGAGCTTGTGGAAGACAAATGAGAACGAGAACTTGCGCAGTGACTAATGGATGTCCTGGCACTTGTCTGTGAGTTGAATTTGCAATTATTGGCAAAAAATTGGAATAGTTTGAGGTGATTAAAAGTCCGGAAAGCTTATCTCAAACTTTATAAACAAAATTTTACCTCCAAACTTTAAATTCTTCAACTGAAGACTGTTGATGAATACTTTTCTAGTGGGAATGACACTGATACCTCAACCACTCCTTGCGATCCACCAAACACCGTGGCTGACACATACAAACTTTGCGTTGCCCCAATGCCGGTTTGCTGTGAGCCATATCACCGAAATGTTTCGATGACAATGAAGAAAAACATCTGCACCACCTCGTTTGCTCCTGTGAAATAATGTGAAAAAAAAACAAACTCTCAAGTTCAAAAGATCATTATGTACATAGTAATAAATGTCCCACATCGTCCAAATTATTTCAATGTAATAAAATACACTCTGAAAAAGCTGAAAACCAAGTTTTTGATCGTTGAATTGTTGACCAAAAGCGCTGAATCTCAAATTTCCCTAACAAGTACAGCTTTGCCAGTATTTTAGATCAAATTTCAAGTAAAAGCTTATCAAATAAATTAAGATAAACTAGTTTTTATTGTTTTTCTGTGTGAAATTGTTGAACTATGAGAAGTACGAGATCTTTAAAACCCAAAAAAAAGCAAAAAAAAATGACGAGATCCAAATAGTGTTTCATTGGGAAAGTGAAAAATGTCGAATTTTCTAGAACAAGAATTGATTTTGACTACTTTACATTTTTATTTTTGAACTTTCTAAAGCTTCTAAAGCTTCTGAGAAACTTTTCAGATTGTGCATTGCTTTTAAATCTTTTGAGAAACTTTTCAAACGTTGTCAAGATCGAAGGAAAACTCTTTCCCGAGTGGAGGAATTCCCAAACTGATAAGGATTGGCTTGGTTACTCATCGACAAATATTGAGATTTTGCATAGCATTGAAAATATCAATACTTCAAATTGTCTAACCAAATTCTTTTCTTAAAGCTTACTAAACTGAGCTTATCTGATTTACCGTATTTCTTCGAATAGAAAACCGGGTAAAGAGTATCATCGCGTACTCCTGCGTAGCAGCCCTTTTTAACATTTCTTTTCTGCATAAAAGCTTTCAATGAAGTGCTATAGGGCTGGAAAATGACTCAAAAATACTACATGAGCTAACAGATTTTTGAGCCATTTTCCAGCTCGATAGAACTTTATTGAAAGCTTTTATGCAGAAAAGAAATATTAAAAAGGGCTGCTACGCAGGAGTACGCGATGATACTCTTTACCCGGTCTTCTATTCGAAGAAATACGGTAAGCTCTTCTTCTAACAAAAACTTTTCCATTACCTCCAGTAACAAAATCTAGCTAAAATCTTTGTAATTTTCAGTTTTAAAGACTTTCCCTGAAGAATATAATGGAGAAATTTGTTTTCCTGATGTTTCTTTTCGTTTACTTTTCTTTTTCTTTTCTTTTTCGGTTGGCAACGGCTCCTTTTTGGCGCTCGATACACACTCATACCAAATGCGGTTCACATTTACCACACTATAAAGTTTTAAAACTACTTGAATATTAATGAATTATTATAGAATTTCAAGCCCATACGTTTGTTTTAAACTTCCCAATACCTACAATTAAAATCCTATTATACTTTGAATGTTTTCCTGATGTTTGTTGTCAATTCTTGCCAACCGTTTTGCTCTTTTTCGGCCTGTGTTTGTTTTTTTCTTTCATTTCACTTCTTTTCTTCTTTCTATTCTCTTCTTTTCCTTTTAAACTTGCCTCTTTCCTCTCGATTTCTCACAATTCTCTTCAAGGACTTACTTTTTGTCTTTCTTTGTCAGCTGTTGTACGATTATTTTATTGCTTCCTTTTGAAAGTATTCTCTTTTTTTCAAACAGCCTTTGAAATGTCTATAAATGTCTATAAATCCCCTTTCTGTTTAATAATCGTTTGTAACATTCAACAATTGTTAAAAACTTTCCAAACTATCAAACAAAAACTTTTCCTTATAAATTATTGACGAAATTCTAGAACTTGTACTTTTAACTGTATAGTTTGAATCTTTGACCAATGTCTATAAATCTCCTTTCTGTTTAATAATCATTTCTAACCTTCAACAATTGTTAAAAACTTTCCAAATTATTGTATGCACACCTGCATCACTTTCAAATGCAACTTTTTCTTGTAGAGTGGCACAAATGCCGACCCACGAGAGATTCCCATTGAAAATTATGATTGATGCTGAGGAGGGAGGTGAGAGAAATAGAGATTTAAGTTGAAATCTCAATTTTAAGAAAGATAATTTATAAGTTTAGCAAGAGTTAGCAAAAGAATAAACAAAAAAAACGGATCAGATGTAATCAAAAACTATTATTCTGTTCAAAGCAGTCTAGGAAAGCAAACTACAAACTAAAACATATATTTTGATTCAATCAAAATCACTGATTCAAATTTGGTTATGAAACCTTTATTGTTTTTCTTTTGAATAAGCTTTTTCTTATTTAGAAGATGATTCTGAGTCAAGGAAAAAGATTAGCGATGCGAATAGTCATCACAGTCACCATAGCCATGTACGGTTTATTCGACCAGTTGTCCCGAAAAACCCTGACAATCATTGGACCCACGAAAAGCATCCAAAGTTTGTAATACCGTATTTTCTCTAATAGTAGTGCACCCCGGCGAGCCGAGTTGGTGACTATTTGACGGTTTCCAAGCTTTTGCAGAAGCTCAATACTTTAATCTCCCACTAGATCTCATCGGCAGCTACATTTTCCGACCCCACATCGATAGGTTCTGATAAGCGGTTGTCGAGATTTCGAGGAATTTAGACGACGCTCAGGGTGCACTACTATTAGAGGAAATACGACAATCAAAAGTCTTAAAAATGAATCATTAAGTATTTTGAAAATAATCTTTCAGGGAATATTTGGGCAAGTTAGTGACAGCTTTTTATTGTCTCTTCATCGTGATTATGGGCATTGTGATGGAGCTCTCAAACTTGATAACAGTTGGCTATGGCTACCCACCAAATTCTACAGATTTGGTAAAAACGATTCGATATTTTATTTTAAAATTTCAATCACAGGTACTAGCATTGTTTCTTTATGGTGGCTCGATTCTATTTATCGGTTATGCATTGCTTTCAGTGCTTAAAGAGCATATCAGTGTACATCAAAGGGTTTGTTTTTAAATGGAATTGGAATTGAATTGGAATTGGATTGGAATTGAATTGGAATTGAATTGGAATTGATTGAAATTGATTGAAATTTTAACTGGAATTGAAATTTTAAATGTTAATTCAACAACTTCTAATAAAACTTTCTAGAGAAAAAGCCTGTCTAGTGTTCCTGGCCGAATTCCGATGCCTGAAGTTCTCACAAATGTCTCAACGGGTAGCATGTATCTTAGAATTGGATGTATAGGTAAAAAAAAGATCATAACTATTTATTCGAAAAACAATTTAGTCTTTGGAATCATCGGAGTAGTTTATTATGGAATGGTGACACTTGTTTGTGCCCTTGGATGGGATCATGGATCGTCTCAAGAATGCTCAATCTATTCTGAAATCATCTCAATTCTAGCTGCTGTCTTTATTTTTGTTCAAATGTGGTTTGTCTTCTGTAATGGAAAGGTATAAATTGTCATTGTCAGAGATCAAAAATCTTTTTAGATCACGTTTCTCGGTGCTCCAAATGTGGCTCGTTTAGGATTAATGCATTTGGTGGCGACAAATCTTTGGATGTGGCTTCGTTACATTCTTTATGAAGAAGCTGAAACAGTCAACGAGCTGCAACATGTAACTCTTTGATGTTTGATAACAACAATAACAGTTGTTTGATCTTAATCTTTATAAAATTCCAGGCTTCTAAGCTCTCGACAACTTTAAGACCAACTTTAAATGTTTTACCAACATTGCCAACAATTCCGCATCATCAGATTTATGATCATGCTGCCGATGGTAAGAAAGATTTACAAATCATCCATTAATTAGACAAAAAGACAAGTTTTCAAGTAAGAAACTATTAGGGTGGTTCAAAAGAAACTGCTGATTTGACGGTAAATTCAAAAAAAGATGGCGTTCGATGGTGACATGATCACAATGGAATATTTTCACAAGATCTCGAGCAGATTAGCATGGATCGGCCTGAATAACGTCCCTCAGCTTGGCTTCGTTCGCGACTTCTGGCCTCGAACCGTGCTCGTAATCTTCCAAAGCCTCGTCTCCCTCTCGGAATCGTTGAAACCAAGTCTGACACTGCCTGAGAGACGAACTGCTATCTCCGAAAGCAGCACAGAGATAACGATGCGATTCGGCAGCAGACTTCTCAATTTTGAAGTTAAACAGTAATGCTGCTCGTAGCACAAACTTTTGCTCGACCACGATCTAAATAAAAAATATAAGCATTTTAAAATAAAATAAACAACAACCAAAGAATTCAAATGTCGAAATAAATAGCAAACAAATATGCGAACAAAACATAAAAAAAATAATGCCGTTAGCATCGCTCGTTTCTGATAAATGAGAGCTGATACCCATCGGCAGTTTCTTTTGCACCACTCTAATAGTCAATTAGCGCCAAAATCTAGCTTATGCATAGAGCTTTAAGTAAAGAACTAGCACTGTTTGATGATTTTCTTTAAGCCAGCTATCAGCTAACCAGCTAATTCTATTAATTTCAGTTCATCTTCATAACCCAAAACATTCTTGCGAGGGATCACATTGTGTTTTCGGTGAATACAGCGAGTTTATGTATGTTTTGACGAATGAAAATACAAAAACTAGTATGATCGAATTAGGTACACTTGTGTGGTCGAATATTCTCTAATCTGTGTTGGTGTGGCGTTCGTTTTTTGGACTTCAATCTCTTCAAAGAAAGACGAGGTGTGTGCAAGAGAGAACCATGAAATCAAGTCAACTTCCTTTTTTGGGTGCAACGAGGGGCTTGATTGGGTAAAATCTAGAGGAATTTGTTGTAAAAACATCTATAGGATCCTTTTTCCTTTAAGGAACAGTTCTAAAAGCTTTTTTCAGATAATGCAAAAGCTGAAGAAGCATAGTGTGGTGACAATGGATTGTTCAAGAAGTGCTGAAGGTCTCTTTGGTGGTTTTCTTGTTATAATCACGTCGATTATCTCAATCGCTCTTTTCAATGCTTATTCTTCACGAAAAGAATTGGCTCAATGGGTAAATAAACTAAAAATCTTATAGAGAATCTTATAGAGAATCTTATAAAGAATCTTTTTCAGATTTTCTTGGGAACTAATGCTACTTATTTTATTATGGCAATAGCTGTCACTTTTTTAGCATTTCATAGAATGAGGGTAAGTTTTTTAAAGCTCAAAAAAAAGTGATAGCTGTTTTAGGTATTGAAATTCAATGAAGAAAAAGAATGTGAAGCTGAAGAAAGTGCTGAATTGCTAGATCAAATCCTTCTCGTTGTTGGACTAATTGGAGAATTGGTTTATTGCATTGGTAATCGATTGCTAAAGCTAAACTAGAAAGAAACTTAGGTGGAATTTTGGCTTTTGCGAACAACTCCAATAGAATCAATCTCTCGTATATGCTGTTTGGAGTGCATGTATTAAGGCTTGTTCAGGTTTGTCCCCATCTAAATGACGGTGCGGAGTGTCTAGCTTTGAACGCGTTTTTCTCGACACTGGTTTATCCTATAATGCGCGCTTAGGTATGAAAAAATAGCTGAAATTCAGCGCTATTTTTTGATACCAAAGATGAATTTCTTGAAAGTACAAACGCTTTGAAAAACGAAATACAAAAAAAACTTACTAGCGACTACTATTACAGTATTTAAGGTAATGGAAAATCATGCCAATTGAGTGCAAAGTGTCCAATAGACTAATAGACTAATATAATAATAGACTACTAGACTAATAGACTATCCAATATGCAATAGTATTGCCTTTCTTTTTATCCCAGTACAAAATTCTTTGCTTGTTAAACAATTTTCTATTTGTTGGGGCGAGTATCAAATGTCGGATAACCGATTGTGAGGCCCCACCCCTTTCGCCATTGGCAATCCAACTTTGAGCTCGAATATCTTGGTGTTGGGTTTTCCAATTTAAATTTTTTGTACCAATCGACAAAGAAAGACTTGACGTACCTAATGATGCCAAGAAGGTTTAAATTGGACAGCTCAACACCAAGAAATTCGAGCTCAAAGTTAGATTTTCAATGGTAAAAGAGGCGGGGCAGCAGACCTTTTATACGCGCCCCCCTCCTTGGCCATTGGCAATCCAACTTTGAGCTCAAATATCTGGGCTGGGCTGTCAAATTTAAATAGTTTTTGCACCAATCGACAGAGAGAGACTTGGTGCATTCAATGACACCAAGAATTTTGAAATTGGAAAGCCTAAAGCCATGATATTTGAGCTTAAAGTTAGATTTTCCATGGTAAAAGGGGCAAAAAAAGTTGTGTCTAGGTGTCTCTGCAATCCGGCTTAATCATGATCGGCGGCCGATTAGCTCTTCGACTCGATGATGAGGAAATTGTTCGATACAAACCTGGGAAACAGGTTTATCTTTAAGATTTAGTACAACTAACCTCTCTTACTATCAGAAAATCTCTAAAAAAGGCTTACGTTGTTGGATATCGGTGAGAAATGATGTAGTCAGACTTGTGGTTAGACTAGGCTATCGATATTGGAGTAATCGCACAAAAAGTCTTATAACTTTGCATTAAACAGCTCATATGCTCTGAAACTTTTACCAATGAAAAGCCAGAAGTTCAAGCTTTATTTTGGTATCTAATACTTAAAAACGCAACTCTAAAAGCTCTAACCTAATCGCTATTGCTATGACCTTATCGAGCCTTTATCAATAATCAATATAATCGTATCGATAAGGCTTTTTGAGATGCATTATTCTTTTAACAGTACGTATTAGATACCAAAATAAAGCTTGAATTTCTGGCTTTCAATTGGTAAAAATTTCAGAGCATTTGAAATTAGATCTGTTCTTTATAAAGATCTGTTCTTTATAAAGATCTGTTCTTTATAAAGATCTGTCCATTTTAACGCTCCAAAATCTCGATAGCCAAGTCTACTTGTGATAGAGAAAATCAGTGAACTAACATCGATTCATTTGGATTAACAAGAAATTATTGATTTCAGATTGTAACACTCATGCTAATGGTGAACTGTGCTCTATTTTTGATGAACATTTTTGAAGCTCAGAAGGTATATTTTGTGGAAAAACTTTTGCAAGAGAGATCATAGGCTGGAATCACTGAGGAAATCGTGGCTCTTTACGGTCATCCACAATGGGCATTATTGATCAGAGGGACAAGCCCGCTCACTATTTTCTACAGGTATTAAAAAAAAGCTGACTTCATATTATCATTAGTAGTTCTTTTGGTTCTTTACGGATGACGGGGGTCAACGATTATCGGGGAGGGAGAAACTTTTTCACCAACTTGCAGTCCGATTTTGTATAGGTTTTTGTTAATAACTTTTGATAAAACAAATAGTTTCTGAAAGCTGACGTTCTAAGCTATCTAAATCTTATTAAAACTTTCTGATCTGACAAGCTTAAGATGCTTAAAAATGAGGTTCCATTTGGCCAAAAAATTTGCCCCCCCCCTCCCCCGTTATCCGTAAAGCACGGTTCTTTTATATTATATTCTTACAATTAGCTTGTAAAATCTAGCTGAAACAATGCAAAATTGAATAAAATTGCTTCCAGAACAAGCCAAATAGAACAAAACTACATAAAAACTTTCAGATTCCATTCTTCTGCTTGTTTCGCAGAAATCTGGAAGAAAACTTTTAAAGTAAGAGAAATGGAGGGATCGAAAAGCAGCCATACAAGAAGCAATCTATCAAGTCCTTAATTTAGAATATCAAATTTTCATTCGTTCTATAGATTTATTCAATTTTGTAATTCTAAAACAAAACATTGATCTCAGGGTTTATTGCTGTACGCATTTCGTTTTTGATTAACAATAAAATCTTATCAGAGATGTGAACACGTTCAAAGAAACTTCAAAGAATGTACATAGGGAGGCGTTTAAATTTTCAAATAGCTTTTTCAAATAACTTCCAAACTAAAAAAGGATCAAGCTTTCTTCAAAAGTCTTTTTCTTATGGTTAAATTTATCCATACTTTGGTATGTCGGGTGTGGCTGTGATGTAGTTGAGAATGAATGCGATGAGATGAGATGATTGTCTCTGAAGTGAGGTGGAATGGATTGTGTGTAAACAATGTGTGAGGGAAGACCTTTTTGTTGCTAGATGTGTCCTCCTCTCACATGTACACTTCTGGAGAGACACAGAAAAAGCTGCTACCCCATCGAGTACCCGGATTTCTTGAAAGTTTTGAGGTTATTGACAAGGGGAGAAACGTGGATCAAAGAACATGAAAGTTCATTAAAAAATTTATGCGGATCAAAGTTAATAGCCACAACTAATGTTTTACTAGCTTATACCTATTGAATTTCGAACTGGATATGTTAAAATTTTAGCTATATCATATCTACTATATATTGTCTGTCTGTCGGTCTGTTTATGTGGTTTATATCTTTTCACCAGAAGAACCCGTCTAACAGCGGGTTTTTCTGGTTAGATATTGTCGTAGCCATGGCTCCATCGGGAGAGCGCTTGTCTACGGTTCACACAAGCCGGGTTCGAATCACCTTTGTACCGCTTCATCCCTGTTTTTTTTTCTTCATGTCAATAGATAAAAGATAGAGCATAAAAAGTTAGGTATAAAGCCAAGTTTTCAAAGAAATTCATTGGGCCAATTTCTTTGTAGAGGTTTTGAAAGATTTTTACGACATCTAATAGTGGGTTTTTCTGGTGAGATATTGTCGTAGCCATGGCTCGGTCGGGAGAGCGCTTGTCGACGGTTCCCACGAGCCGGGTTCGACTCACCTTTGTACCGCTTCATTCCTGTTTTTTTAGTTTTTTTATTTTAAATGGCACAACTACAATATATTCTAAGGTTTTCTAAAGAAGTTTTAGCTCTAAAAAAACTAAAAAACCAGAATGAAGCGGCACAAAGGTGATTCGAACCCGGCTTGTGTGAACCGTAGACAAGCGCTCTCCCGATGGAGCCATGGCTACGACAATATCTAACCAGAAAAACCCGCTGTTAGACGGGTTCTTCTGGTGAAAAGATATAAACCACATACTCCATTATCAACAAAACCTAATTTTGAAGCTGCAACAAAATGACAAAGACTGAAATTAAAATACGAAGATTCAGAAGCCAAGTTGCTAATTGTTCGATCAGAATACTCTAGATAATCTGTGAAAGACTGGATAGTCATCCAGTCTTCCACAAAATGAGACAATTCCTCAAAGCCGAAGACTCAACTCGAATAAAGTTTTCTCTTCGGATCTTCCGGAAAGATCGTATTTGACTAGTTCTTCTCAAGTTCTCAACAAATTACACTAACCCCAAGGAATTGTTGCTTTTTGAGCTTTAAGATGGTGCCACTCTTCAGGGTAATGTTTGACTCGTTGGGTGTTCACACCTCAAGATGAGAGACCGGGTTTACTTGATCCTTTTCTCTTCCACTTGGTCTTGAGGGCAATCGGGGCATGTCAACTCTCATCAAACACGTGTCTTCTTCGTTTTTTTGTTCTATCTGCACCAAAGAGATCCTTTTTGTGCCGTTTGCGCATCCGTGTACCCCTCTCTTTGTCTCTCTTGTTCTCTTGTTTCTTCTTCTAGACACACCCTCATTTCCCTGCACATTCCCAGGTATATAAGCTGCAGATTGGATGCAGAAACCATCATCCAACGAATTCTTTCATCTTTCATTTCAAGGCATTCGGCTTTCGACCCATTTAACCTTTCGATTTCTTCAAAGTATGTACTTGCGATTCGGATTCGGTCTCTTGGTTCTCGCTCTTGCTGCCTCTGCTGAGGTAACGTTTACTTTTTTTATTTAAAAGCTTTTCTAAAAGCTTTAAAAGCTTTTAATAAATCACTTTTTCATCTTTTAAACACTTTTTTAAAAGCTATTCATTCGAAAAAATCTCTTGAAGCTTTTCTCGGTCATAATCTCCACTCTAAGCCTCAGAAACAAATAGAAAAACGACAACAATGAACACATTCACTTCGCTTTTTCATTTGTTCTTTCAGGTTCGCGGTCGGCGTCAATCCTCGTGCGGATGCCAAGCTGTTGTGACGAACGATCAGTGCCAATGCCAGCCTAGCCAACCCTCATGCAAATGCCAACAAGTTCAAGCTATCGCCACCACTGCTGCTCCATGCGCTTGCCAGCCAGTCACCACTCCGGCTCCAGTCTCGTGCCATACTTGCCAGACTCAATGCGTCTCTTCGTGCATGACCGTTCTCACCTTCCAACAATGCCAGCCACAATGCCAACAGACTTGTGCCCCAGTTTGCCAGGTAATGAATAGCCAAAGACTTTCAACATCTAGTTAACCTATTTCAGTCGCCACCAACCACCACCCCAGCCTACTCCATGCCTATGTGCAACTGTCAGCAAACTTGCCAACCTGTCTGCCACCAACAGCCATCTCAATGCCAGTCTTGCCAGAACACTTGCCAAGTCGCTCTCTGCCCGCAGATGACTGTCACCACTACAACCACCACTGCCGCTCCTATGTGCGCCCCTACCTGCATGAAGGCTTGCTTCAAGGTAAGTCAAGCACTCAAAACATTTAACTCTCCAATTTTAGATGTGCATGGACACCCCATCTCAATGCTCTGCCTGTGAACAAACCTGCTGCGCCCCACCAACCACAACCACCATGGCTCCAGTTCTCATCAACCTCTCGTTCTCTCAATGTGTCCCAATCTGTCAGCAACAATGCCAGCCAGTTTGCGCCTCGCAGCCCGCTCAATGCCAACCTTGCCAATCTGGATGCCTCGCTGTCTGTCAGCCAACCACCACTCCTGCTCCATCTTGCGCTCCTCAACAGTGCCAACAACAATGCCAGGTTTGAATGACTTGAAAACATGAGAAATTTAATTTCTAGCCTGTCTGCCAACAAGTCCCATCTCAATGCGGAGCCTGCCAGCAAACTTGCATCCAACAGTGCCAGCCAACCACCACCACGACTACAACCACGCCAGCTCCTCAAATCATTCAAGTAAGTACCAAGTACTTCTTTATTGAGACAACCCGTTCAGGTGAAAGTCCGCATCGATCAATCCACTCAATGCATGCCTCAATGCCAGAACGCTTGCCAATCCCAGTGCCAAGCCGCCGGTCAACAGTACCAGCAATGTCAGCCAGCCTGTGAGCAAAGCTGCACCACCACCTGCCAGCCAACCGTCACCGCTTGCATCACTCAAACCACCCAAACCACCCAGATCAGCTACTTGACTGCCGTAAGTTGTTGAAAGAGTTAGAAGCCTGAAGCTCAAAAATAAAACTTTAAAGATATATTGAAAAGGAATTCAGGTTCAGCAGCAACAGCCAGCTCAACCCTCGTGCTCTTGCCAACAGGGATACGCTCCATGCAACTCGGGAACTCAATGCTGCCGTCGTCGCTAGGCACCAAACAATCAATCAATCGATCGATCAATCGATTTGATCCTTTGTCATGCCATCTTTTGTTTGTAAATAAGGTTCTTGTATTTATCTTGTGATTACTGTAGTTGGTTGTGAATAAATTAATTATAAGACTTCCACAATTTATTATATTAACGAAATATTGATCAGAAAACATGAGAAAATGACCCGAATTCGGTACATGGACCTCACTAGTTGCTGGGGGATAGATTGGAAAAGAGAAATGCTCTGAATATCAAATGATTTAAAGAGATTTTTGCGTAAATCCTTCAATATTCTATAGATTGCACAAAAGAAGACAAAAGTTTTAAAAAATGACTTAAGAACAAACAATTTCGAGTCGAGTACTGAAACAGAATTCAGCGTTTACGCAATTCTAAGACTCTGGAATTGATTTTCTTTCAAATTTTACTTTAAAAAAAGTACAATTCTTCGATCGTAAGTGAATTTCAATGATAGTAGTGGTCTTTGATAGGCGAAATTTTCGAAAATCTTAGCACAACCATTTAGAGATTCGTTTTATATTAGAGACAACTGAGAGCAAAGAAAATAAAGCCTCAATTTCAATATTGCTAAAAAATATTGCCGGAGTATGTCTTGGATCCCTGACGAAAAAGATATAATAAAGTTTACAAAGTTTTGGGATGAGCAATAGAAAATATTGGTGTCAGACTTGCGAGACGATTGGCGACTTCAGCAATGGGATGGGCGACTCGCGAAACCTGGAAATTCACAATTCAACAATATTTTAAAGAATTACTTAAGAACTTTAGAGTTTAATTTTAGCTAACTAGTAAGTGGTTAAGTAGAATTTTGTAAAGTCCAGCTGAAGCCAAGCTCAGCTCTAGCCAAGCTCAGCTGAAGCCAAGCTCAGCTCTAGCCAAGCTCAGCTGAAGCCAAGCTCAGCTGAAGCCAAGCTCAGCTGAAGCCAAGCTCAGCTGAAGCCAAGCTCAGCTGAAGCCAAGCTCAGCTGAAGCCAAGCTCAGCTGAAGCCAAGCTCAGCTGAAGCCAAGCTCAGCTGAAGCCAAGCTCAGCTGAAGCCAAGCTCAGCTGAAGCCAAGGCTAAGGCGCAGGGCTTTCCTTGACGTCTTTGCATTGTTAGTAAATCAAATTTACATTGGTTTAGTTACAAGCAAACATTTAAATGTTCTAAGTTTAAACAGCTTATTGCTTAAACAGCTTATTTCTATAAACATCTTTTGTCTTTCCTAAATCTCGTGCCAAAAAGAAAAACTCGTGCAAAACACTCACCGGCTCTCAAAAAGTGCCGAGCCGAGTCGACCAAGTACATGCTCTGAGAGTCAGAATCAAAAAGGAATAGGCAGAAATCGAACAAAGCAGTAAAGAAAATCAAAATCAAGTTTTTTGGGAAGCCGAATATCAGGGAAATGAACTGGGCCGTGCGGGAGAGTAGAGTTTTTTTGATTGAATTGAGGGACAGGAATAGGCCCGGGAATTTGGGAATAATTTTTGAATAGGAATAGAACAGCACTCCTTGGAATATCGCTGAGCTTCAAGAAATGAGCTTTTTACCTTTGATCCGAGAGAAGACGATTCGATTCGACTGGCCTGGAAATAGGTTTTCATCAATCAATATTTATTTTAGTTCCTTAATTTTCTGAAAACAGATATTTTCTGGTAATTTCAAGAATTTCTAGAACTCTCAACATGGGGATGCAAAAAAACCACAAAAACTTTGAGGGATTTCTGATTTTTCTCACCTGACTACCATGATTCAGAATTGCTATAGAAAACAAAATCTTGTCGATTTTTTTTGTTGTAAAACCAACCGTCCAGACTCGAGATCCTTGCCCTTTGAACGATCAGGGTTCTTTCCGCAACAGTTAATGCAAATACAAGCAATCACTCCACATCGATTTGTTGAATAGCAGATCAGATCAACCACCTAGAATTATTTATTATCTAATAGTTCTCAAAATTCAAACATACCAAGCAAACAATGAAGAGAGCGGCTCCAACAATGATCATCATGTGAGTTGAGGTGATTCCACTGGCCGAGTGCGGGACCACTGTAGCCGGTGTCTCGAAGGTCACCTTTTGAGGCTCCGACTCTCCAATGGAATTCTTAGCAGACACAGAGATCTCATAGTTTGTATTTGGCTTGAGTTGAGTCAACTCAATAGCCTGTCCATCTGTGCCAAGCGAGATTTCGAGTCGAGATCCAATGTATTCGTACTGAAATCAAAGCTTAGAGTTATTCGCTTAGAGTTGACATTTCTTTTTAGCAAAGCTTAGAGTTGTATTTGCAAACCTCTTCCTTTTCCTCATTCTCTTTGTATTCTTGAACGGTGACTTTATATCCAGTGAGCTCTTCTCCGTGATTGTTTGGCTCAGTCCATTCAATTCGACAAACTTGATCACATTCATAGGTGATGCTTTCTGGTTGAGCGGGTGCTAAAATTTCAAAAGTTTAAGAAGAATTGATTTCTATTTTCTTTTTCTAACAAATTTAATAGAGATTGATTTAGCAAAACTTGATTAGGTCATTTTAAGAACTTTTCTAAGACAAACCCCATGGATCCGTCGTTTCCACTGTTTCTTGAACTCCCAAGTCACTGGCGCCAGCTTCATTGATGGCACGAGCACGGATAATGTAGTTAGATTTTGGCTTTAAACCAGGAACCTTCATACGACTAGCGTATGGCACTTTGTGTTTAACTGAATCTCTTTCCCATTCGAAACCTTCTTTCAATGCTTCTTGATCGGGCACCCAGGCGAATTCAACCTAATAGAACTTTTTGTTTACAATATTAATGAATTGATTAGATAAGTTTATGACGTTAAACTTTTACCTCTGTAGGCTCTACTTTCAAGTCAGCATATTGTTCAGCATTGAGTGCACATAAAGCAAAGTTGGGATTGACATCATCGTGGCAGTTGAGCTCAGTGGGAGTTGGTGGAGTCACTAGAAATTCGAGTTACGTCGAGATTCTAATTTTCAAGTGCTTGCTTCACTTACCAACTTCAATGACGGTTACAACTTTCTCTGCCGGTTCACCGACACCATTTGAGGCACGGCAAATGTAACGACCATATTTTCCTTCAGTTGTTCGCATCCAAATAGACGATCGAGTGAAAGTGTTTGTAATTTTTGTTGTAACACCGTCGTGTTCGACCTAAATAACTTAGATATTGTTTTTAAAATCGTGTTGAGCCAGTCTCAGAACTAGCAATTATTATGTTTTTACTATCATTAGCGGCAAAATCAAGATCTAAATTTGTACAAATGCTTACATCTTGTCCATTGAGTTGCCAATCCCAATTAGGCTCAGGGACAGCTTTTCCTTCACAAAAGATTTCGATTTCATGTCCTTCGAATGAGCGCACCGTTTGATCAGTCCATTTCTTGATGATTGGAGCATCTAAAAAGTTTGTTTGAAATTTAGATCAGTTTAAAAAGCTTACGGGTGATTGCCAAAACACTGTTTCTGATAATCGGTCCAGCCTCGTTTTCAACGACACATTGATAAGTTCCAGCATCATTTAAAGAGACATCCTTGATCAACAACGTGATCTGCTTTCCATCATCGGTCACCGAGACACGGCCAGACTGCACTTCACGAGTTCGTCGAATCACATTGTTGTCGTTTGTCTAAAATTAGAAATTAGAAAGGAATTTTTGAATTAAATTAGTCACACTGGGCTGTAAGGATTGATGAATAGGAATTATAATTCGGAAAGAACAGTTATTTTAATTTTTATATTGACAGAATTAGAGTAGAGTCACACTTCACACATCTCACGTCAATGAAATGGGCTGGTTGATGTTCTCCACTTCCATCTTCATCTCGGGCAATCGGATGGCCCTGATTGTCGTCTTCATTGTTCTCATTTTCATCTTTATCCCCGTCTTCATCATCATCATTGTCAGTCTTTTCCTCGTCATTATCATCATCTTTCTCATCGTCTTTGTCGTTTTCATCGTTGTTGGACTTCTCATCGTTTTTCTCTTCATTTCCATCATTACCATCCTTTTCGTCTCTCTTCTTCTCTTCATCTTCGTCTTTTTCATCTTTCGAATCATCATCATTCTCGTTTTTCTCTTCATCATCAGCTTTTAAACCATCTTCATTTTCCTCTTTCTTGTCATCATCATCTTCTTCTTTCTCACCGGATTCTTTCACTTTCTCCTCATCATCCTTTTCATCATCATTCTTTGAATCCTCCTTGTCCTCGTCATCCTGTTCCTCGTTCTCCTTGTCATCCTTTTCATCATCATTTTTATCATCCTAATATCTTTAATAAATTTTTACTCAATTTCACCTAAGGCTACCCTATCTCTTAAAAACTAACAATTCTATGCAAAAACGAGATCAGTTGCACAAGACCTCCATTTTCCTAAAAATCACGACAACTTTACGAGTGTGCAAAAATCAAACTAAGAAAAGCCAAGTGATAAACTGAAAAGGAAAATCTATGCAGGCAGACCTCATTCTCCTTCTCCTCATCGTCGTCCACGTTGTTCTCCTCTTTCTTGTCCTCTTCATCATCTCCTTCATCACCATCATTCTCTTCATCATCTTGTCCTTCTTCTTTCTTCTCATCATCTCCATCATCTTCATCACTCGTCAACTTCTCCGGCTCATCATTTTCCTCTTCTCCACCAACCTAAAGAAAGAAATAGCAAAAAGAAGTGAGCAATTTGAGAAAAGAATCTTTGAAAATCTACGTAAACGTGCTAAAACACAATGACAGTTTGAAAGCATGTGATTTTTCGTTTATTACCTTGAAAACTTGCTGTCCATAAACGAATTTCGCTTTCAAAGTCCCTTCGCCAGAATACCGGCACACCAACTCGACATTTTCGCCGGATTGCTTCGTGTGATTGGTGAGACGTTCAACTTTTGGACGAACTAAATAAACTTTGAACTTAGTATTTGATTTTAAGAAAAGAGAACCTAAAGAGGTGATTTTAAAACTTACGATAAACTGATAGAGTGGCCGTCTTTGAATCAGTTCCAATATCATTCGTAGCTACACATCGATACTCTCCTCCATCAGTCGAAGTCAGCGATTGAATCGTCAAAAGTCCGTCCTCGATTCCATAGATGTCCGATTTCACCAAGGCTTCTTCGCTCTAAATTTTTTTTTGCTTATTTTCCTAATCATCTAGTCACTTCATTTTTCCAAATATTTGCCAAGTTTTCAAGAGTCTAGAAGCTCCCCAAAAGGGCTAATAAACGTACAGGTGGTCAGTCCACTTGTGAAAGGTCCGATTCCTTCTAAATGAAGAGCCCTTTCCTCTTCTTCAAATCCCAGGTGCTCTTACAAACAAACGAACAATATGAGGCCTCATATTGCAGATTTATTCTCTCTTCTCAATTGTAGACCTTTTTTTTGAGCGATGCGCTTCGAGGTGAACCAGCAAGACAATTGTCCTAATTGTACATGCACTGTCCCCTCCCGGATTCACTCAAAGGTGCCGACTTTGGCAATAATTAGTGTCCCTCTTTTCGCAACACTATGCACTTTTCTATTCAGGAAATGCGAGATCTTATCGCCTTTCTACTCCATAATTTTCTCCCTATTCGAAAAATTTGAATTGTAAAACTTTGAAAAGATTTGAAAAGTTTTTTTCTTAGCTAACCTTTTGAATATTTTAAAGTTTTCTGTTGTTTGAGGAGTTAGAAGTGGATACTTTTGTGGGTAAAGAATGATTCAGAAAGTCCGAAGAAAAACAAAGAAATTAGCTATGCATGAGTGGGTTTACTTAAAACTAATATAGTATAAGTTTTAGAAAAACTATACAACAAGTAAAAGATCGTCTGTGAATTGTTAACTTTTTACTAACAGCTAAAAGCCTTACTTTGTAATGTTTTAAGAAATTGTATTGTAGCAAATTGTACTTGTATTGTACTGTTAACGCAAAATCCCTTATTCTCGTCGCTACAACTTCGTTTGTATATTCATATTTAGGTATCCAAGGGAACTCATCACATTTGACGAGAGAGAAGTGATTTCACACTCGAGCGCGTATCGCTTTGTCCCTCATCCTACATTTGCAAAAAGAAAGCAAAGAGTCGAGGTCGATCTCGATGGCAGAAAAGGGATGAGACAAGGGGAAGGCCCATTGTCAATCCTCTATTTCTCATTCGCCCCAGGACATCACAATTTGCATATCCAAGCACGGTGTCCAGGTGGATCGCCCCGTGAACAGCCATTCATTCAACCACAACTTGTTGCTTTCATTCAAGAGCAAAGCGATAAACAGCTGCTGGTTTGATGATTGTAAAATAGAAAAAGGTGAACTAAAGAACTAAATCCTATAATATTCTTTCTAGCGGATAATATCCTTTCATACAAATCAACAAAACAAGTCATACATTCAGTTAACAAGTCTATCAGCTATATGATTAACTCATCCAACAAAAACAGTACTTTCTAATGACTTAAACCCAAAAAAACTACAGATCAATCTACCATTTAACTTTCTCATCCTTGAGGGATCTTTAACAGATGGGTGCGCGTCTTATCGGTGTCCGGGATTGCGTGTGCTCTGCAATCTCCTTTCTTTGCCTATATTCGAGAGTAAGTGAAGACAGGTGCCCCATTTTCCTTTCTCTTCACCCATTCCATCTCGGGGATTGCATAACATGTTGATGAGCCATTTTGGGCTAGGTGAGGGCAAGGCTGAGACATAAACTATGCTCAATCGATTATCATGAGTAGAACAATGCAAACTTGAGTACTGCTTAAATTTTACTTTTCTAGAATTACTAGTAAACCCAGTGAAAGCAATCGATTGTTTAATTCTGAATTTCTTTATTCAAAATTTATAATTTCAAAAATCCCATTCAACATTCAAGAAGTCAGAGTGTCAATCTTTAAATGGAAAAGTCCGTATTTATGTTTGGGGAAAGGAAAAGACGGCCAATTTCACGCCTAGGTGAGCTTGATATGTCGCGTGTCTCGAAGGCTATGAGAAAAGGAAAAGAAAAGAGAAATAGGATGAAGAAATCAACATAACACTTCTCTTTTCTCTTTTCGTGATGGTGCAAAACGGGGGTGAATGAGCTGTGAACGGTGAGCTGAATACACTCAGGCATAGAAAACTTTCACCTTAAACTTTTGTACCATTGTGAGTCCTAAGAATTCCTAGCAAGTCATGTTAACAGCTTAAAATCATTGAACTTTTTAAAGAAAAAGTCTTGAGAAGAAATTTTCTAACATTTGAGCATTCAAGAAATGATTTGTAGCCATTTCCCATTTCCATTTCAAATTTCTGAGAACAAAATTTCGATATTGATCATTTCTCTAGAATTTGTCCGTAAATTATTCTCTAACCCTTTTCCTCTTTTCCCTCTTTTCTCAACTCTACCAAATGTCAAGCTGAATCATGTCAATCCCATTTATAACCGAAATCCCCCTTTTCGAGTTGAATATTCAAAGCTTGACTCTCTAAATTGCTAACCCTTTTTCAAACTTTAGTAAATCATAGATTTCTTTTGGAACGTCCGTTCTTTCAAATGATTAATACTCAATTCTGGAGCTCAAACAACAAAGGAGTACAGCCGAATTTCCCACGACCTGGCTCCCATTTTCGCACACAAAAGATTTGAAAAGAATTCTTTTTGAATAAGTTCAATGATATAAGAAATGACTAAAATAGTAAAAATGACTCACTTCTCCTCGATACCATTTGTAGGTAGGCATTGGTTTGCCAATTGCTCCACACTTGAAATGCACTGATTGTCCTTCAAAGCCTTGGTTGTTTGTCGGTCCATCAAAGACGGTAATCATGGGTCGAGCTGAAAGAGTCGAGCAATTTGAAATTACATTTAAGAATGGAACAAAGAATTTATAGACTAATCTTTTTCTTAAAAACTTACAATATCCAGAAACATTGATCGTTAGAGTCTCAAATGAGCTGAATTGAGCAGCATTGCAGAGATAATGTCCATCATCTTTTTTCGAATCGTAGTTAGCGATCACTAGCACTTGGTTGTTGTCTTTGAACTCGTATCCACGTGGTGAAGCTAAAATTGGTGTGTTCAATTGTTTGATTTCTTGTTTGATTTTGTCACGCAGACTTTCCCCGTCTTTGTGGGGGCAATGACAATGAGACGGTTCTTCGAGACCCCCAACAGAGAGATCCGACTGCCCACATTTGCATAAGCTCATTCACGGGTCACCCTTCCTCACTCAGCTTTCTTCTCATTCACAATACCCAACAATAAGACGTTGTGGGTGAATCTTTCCACTCACACAACAACACAACTCTTCGCACCTGGCTCCAACTTAGATGGTAAAGTTGATTCAGAGAATCAAGAATTCAAAGGTTAAAATGAAAACAGTATCTGATTGGCTTTTGATCTAGTAATGGATTTAATGCAGCTCTAGTATTGCAACAGTTCTAGTATTGCGGCAGTTCTAGTATTGCAACAGTTTTAATATGTTCGCTTATGCTCTTAGATTTTAATATAGCCATGTTTTAAAGTTTAACTTAACTCAATTCACTAAATCTAGGGAATAGTAATGGGTCGTTGTGTATTCCACTTCTCCAAGGCGATATCCGAAATCCATTCCTCTCAGCTGTCAGCATGTCAACTCAACTATCCCTCCCCTCTTTTCCCTTTCAACCTATTCCCGGGTTAGCGGCGTAAAACAAAGCTCCCCCGCCCCGTCCATAACTAATAGTTTCCATCAATTGGAGATTCAGTAAATAAAAGAATAATCTCTTATTGATTAAGTTACAATTGTTGACAAAACACCTTTCTCAGTTTCGAATTACGGCCTAAACGGATAATCTATTGACCTATTATCTTGAGGCAATAATATCCTTTCGAAATCTCTTCCCTCTCACCTAGAAAACTGTCAAAATGGGTCTCTATCGCCACCCGTTATTCTCGAAGCAATTCAACGCGCAGATGGTCTTAATCCGAAAATGCAGAAAAGGGGAAATAAAAGAGAAGACGGCGTATAGGCTAAGGGGATAACGCAGGGGTTCAAGTGTAGCTGATCGAGGGTTTCTTTGAACCCTCTCTTCCTTTTTCCTTCAAATACACCGCCAATCAACGGCCAATTGTCGCAATCGTTGTGGATGAATGGATCGGTCGGATAAGCCCATGTGCGACATGGTGGAATCCTCGAAGACTGATTTGCGGCTGAGAACGTTCATTCAACATTCATAGGGTGAAAGATATTGATTTTGCGGCTTTCATTATGAATCATTGGGCTTGAATGTGTTTTCTGGCGGACAGGGAAAATAACGCTGATTCATTAGGGTCGAGGTGGTAAAGGAGTGAATCATTTGGGGAAAAGGGAAAGGGATTGGGCAGATACAATCTATAACAGTATTTCGCAAAAAAAAGATACCCAAATTCTTTTTCTAAATGTTAGAAAAGGTGTTAGACCTCAAGGCTTGCTCTTTAAAAAGTTCAAAGAATATTCAATTTATGGAACACTGGCTTAGCTGCTTGCTTGATAGAAGCTTGCTTGATTAGCTCTAGTCTGGTTTATTCAACCTTGCTAATGTTTCTTGATTTCCTTATCCCAGAAATCTTTCCCTATCGACTACATCCTTGAAAGAAAGGCAGACTGCCAGAGGCCTTGGTCCCTAAGGATAAGAATAGGCAAACAAACACGAACATGATACGGCCTTTCTCTTATTCCTTTTCACTATTCCTTTTCTTTACTCTTCCATCCACGCACCCATCTCTAAAAAGAAAAGAAATGCACATAAAACAACGCTTTTCTCATGCCAAATCTCCCATTGCACTGATATTTTAGCAATCGAAAAAATGAGAGCTCACGCTACTCACGGAAATGAATAACAAACAGGATTCTGACAAATTTTAGATCTAGATTTAAATCAAACCTTCATCAAGAGTGTTTCCATTGAATTGCCAGAAGACTTCCATTGATGGTTCTCCTTCAACTCGACACACGATCTCAGCTGTTCGGCCTTCTTCTGGATGTTGCTCGATGAGAGGCTGGATGAATTCAGGAGCACCTAGAATTTGATATATTTAATATAATTCTGTTTTATCTTTTCAATTTTGTTCTTCTAAACGATCGATTTCTTTGGTTAACATCCTCATTTATGTTTTCCTATCTTTAATTCTTCTCCCAGTCACTACTTTTGATAAAAGGAGTCTCGCAACTGCAAAAGAGAAGCAATGGGTCAAAAACAAATAGAGACAACGGCACACAGTTCGGCACACAGTTTGGGTGAGCATTGAGCATCCATTGGGTAAAAGGGGAAAGATGGGGACATTGAGGTGTTCCCAAAAACTCATCACAAGTCAAAAAAAGAGAAATGATTTGCGTCTATTCATTTACGTCTTTTGTTTACGGAAAAGGATCGGTGTTTAAATTGTTCGCAACTGGGAAAAGTTTGAATTCAAATCACTTACGGATGAAGTTGATTGAGGCGTTGATCTCTTGAGTGACTCCATCAATCTCGGCTTTGCACACATAATCGCTTGAGTCTTCCTTTTTGGCTTTGATGATCATCAACTGGCTGGCATTGGGCTTTCCGATGGTCATGATTCTGAAAAAGATCACTCTAGAACTTGTTTACTAGAATTACTATTTTGTCTCTACTATTAGAATTATTAGAAATATTGTCTACTGGACTTAAAATCTAGAATTTATGCTTTTTTACTTAAAATTGTTGAATCTTGTAAATCTACTCACCTTCCGAATCCAATTTGTGTCCCTTCTCGATACCAATGAATCTTCACATCACTTGCCGCTCCATCATAATCTTGAACACTGCAAACGACTAGGAAATTGTCTCCCGATTTCTGATTCGCCAATCGATCTCCATTTGGGGTGATATGAAGATTCCAGGCTGAAATTTTCAAGAATAATTTTGACATTATTATCTGTTTTCTTTCACTTAATCTTGCAACTTGTGAAGCACTTAGTCGACCCAACTACCGTCTGTCACTGATAATTATCGCCTTACCCCACTTGACCATATTCAAAAGAGATGAGAAATGAAAGAAGTAACTGCTTTCTTTTACCCGTTCATTGCGTGACTTTATTATCCTTCTCAATTTAGAGAGAGCAGATGTCAGAGTCGATGTTCTTGACATTGATTCCTTTTTACTCTCATTCTTTCTAAAACTCAGTCCTTCAACCCGATGCCAAATGCTAAAGTGGAAGGGGAAAACAGTGGCACAAAGTCTGTCACCTCTATTCACATTCTCAAGTGGTTACCCCTCACTCATAGATTTTATTTGGCAACAGTTTTTGGCCAAACCCAAGTTTTGTAGCAGGTTTTTTTTCTCATCAACTGCAAAAGCTGCTACAAAAGCATTGTGCTTAAAGTTGTCAAAAGCCACGTAGAAGTTTTGAAAGCTAATCTACAAACGTTAACGAAACTGCTAAAGTTGTCAAAAGCCAAGTGGGAAGTCTCAAATCCTATAAACACTCAACCTTTTTATCAAATTCTTAAAACTCTTCAACACTGTTGAAATCTAGAGAACTAAAAGTGATCGGTCTCTCTCAGAGTGGCCCACCCCCGGTTCCTCTCCCATCCATGCCGACCTAAAGGACAGAAAATTCGATTTCACTTGTGCCGTCTCCACCAGTGATAATCGTCTTTTCTGTGCAAGAACCCCCCTTCTTTTTTTCTTCTCAGTCACTCACTCGGTCAACATACAAACTTAAACTCCATCCAATCCAAATGCCCCATTTTTTTTTCTTCGGCTTTTTCCCCACAAATAGACAGCCACTAAGCTGGTGTGCCGTTTGTGAACGGAAATCGCTTTAAAAGAAAAGAATTTGAACCGAAAAACTGAAAAACCGATTGACCGATTACTCGAAAGCTTTTGGTAAAAATTTGAAAGTGATTTTCACGGGTAAAAATTGATTTTAAGTAAAGATACGCCGAATTCACCAATGGAGCCAATTTTCGTGACAAATCGGGACATCTCAATTCTATGCTTGTGAAAGAAAAAAATGAATAATTAACAATTGGACAATATCGATCAATCTATAGTGCTCATTGAAATGGGTGTTCGTGTGTGAAAACACTCGTCTTTCGTATTGTCACAAACATACAAATGAGAGTCTTCAAGCGGCACTATTCAAAGAATTTCCCTTCCCTATCTACCAAACATTTGCTTATCCATAATGAACTTGCTGAATCATTGGAAATACGAATTTCTAGCTAAAATGACAAATATTTTAGAAAAACAAGGTAACAAAAGCTTAGTCTAACAACTTTTTCTTACAAAGATTTGTAAAAAATTTGTTTCTACAGTTCTACAGTTGTTTCTACAGTTCTACAGCTCTTATCTACTTAAGTTCCTACGGGATTAGAATCAAATTTTACAATAAAATATCTAACTTTCTATATAAACCTTTATAATCTTTAAAAGCCAACCTTGAATCACGCCCAATATGCTGGAAAGAAAGAGCAGAGCTCGCATCTTTGAGCTGAAATTTAATGATTAAAAGTTGAAATGTCGATCAAAGAAATCAAAGAAATCAAATAGATTATCAAGAAATTTGTTTTTTTTCTGAAAATTTTGGAGTGGAAGGAGTGGGTGAGGACTTCAAGAGAGATTCTAATTACGTGAGAGATCCGATCAGTTGAAAAGATTTGGGAAAAGGGGAAAGAACCACTTGAAAGTTTTACTCAACAAGAAAAAGAGTAATAATTATTTAGGATTGAAATTTTCAGGAAAATGAAAGAATCTCTGCGAATTAGAAAATGCCTTGGAAAGGGTCGACATTTTGCAATTTGATCTGCACGAGATAGCAGATTCGGGAAGAGCAAAGGAATTTAAAAAGGGAATTTGAAAAAATGGCTTTTCAAATGTTCTGCAGATTCTTTAGAGATCTATTCAGAAATGGGCAAAATTCGGAAATATAATGAGATCAGGAAGAAGAAGAACTTGTTCGTTGGCTACTTTTGTCAAGGAAATAATTAGATCGTTTTAGCTTTTAAAAAAGGCAAAAAACGAGCCAAGAGTTGGTGAGAATAGATATGCAAGTAGGTGTGGAAGAGGAAGGGGAAGAGGAAGGGGATGAGGAGGAGGTGATGGAAGGGGAGAAAGGAATGGAGGGAAGGGGAAGGGAGAAGGCCCCGCCTCTCCTCTGAAGCATCTCTCCATCATAAGAGAGGACAAACAGAAGACCCCTCTTTCCCCATCAGTTTCCCTTCATTCAAAGGTCATCTCTTCCACTCCTTTTTTGGCAATAATCACTTGATGGATGGGAGATTTAATGGGATTACTTGAATTTGGCAAAGATCAGCAAAATAAAGCATTTTTTGAGGAAACTGGTGTTGAGAGTCAATGATTTGTTAGAATTGAGCGAAAAATTAGCTATAATAGATATGATAGAGAAAAATAATAAAGCTAACGATTTAATCCGATTTGAATTTAGCAAGATCAATAATAAGAATAACAAGAATCACAAGATAGCAATTTAAAGTTAGATAAGTTAAAAATAAAAAGAACTTTGAACAAAGAAACTACATGCAAAAGCAATTAATTACAAGGCAAAGTAGTTTTTTATGGTAAGATGTTAATAAAGAAAATCGCATCGTAATAGTGCGATAAAATGCTTTAAAAAAAGGCCAGGTGGTTGCTGAAAAATTTCCCAGCCCAACGGCACTCCACACTAATCAATTTCCCAAAAAAGAAAAAGATTTCGACAAATTGGGCCAATTATTAAGTGGCAGATAAAAGGCAAAAAATGAAAAGTTCTATTTCGAAAGAGCTTTAAGTGTTTACGAGATAAATGAAAACAAAGTATAACGTTGAATTAACAGAATTTAAAACACTATTGAGTTTTAAAAGGTCAATGGGCGCGTTCAAATCTTTTTTCGTATCTAGAAACGAAACTCTTAGCTTTCTTAGTTCATTTCTCAGTTCAACGTTGTCTGGAAGGAGCCAAGAAAGAAAGAAAAGAACATTTATTAGATCAACAAGTCTCTGTCTCGTTCGTGGAGATTCGGAATTCATTTTAGGGAATCGGAATAAAGATCAGAATGTATATTTACTGAATGTTTAAGATTTAGCAGTTAAAGAACAAAGAAAGAGCAGTTTTTTGTGAAATTCAAGTTCAGACTATACGAAACTGGACTATTTTTTCACATTTCTCTTTCCTATTAGCTTAATCTTGGTGAGATTTTCGGCTCATCGCTTATCCAGATTCGAATTGAGAGCTCATTGATGACATGTGCTTGTAAAAAACTATTAACACTGATCTTTTTGCATTTACTTGGTAAATTTTATTGAGCTAAAACGTTGCCATTTTGTGGTTGATCAGTGCAGACTTTGCTTGCAAACAAAACGATTGAATAGCTGTCTTTGTGATTGAACTCCCCAAAAAGAGCCCCATGGACAACCGGGATCGTTTTAAATCTGAAAATACAGAGTTTTGACTTGAAATAGTCGAATTACTGCAAAAATTCCTCCATTTTCCCAACAAGTCTTCAATCTTTGATCACAATCAAATGAAGTTTTATCTAACCAAATATAAGTATTGTCATCATTATCAATTGGATTACAAACAAGCCCGATGAGAACATTTCCATCTTCACAAGTATCTCTGGTTAAAACATTTGTTTTACGTTGATCTGAGCTCTGTCTAATTGCTTGAAGAGTTTAAACTTTTCAAGAAATTCCATTCATCAGCGAAATGGATAGAGGCAAGATTTGAATTAGCTGATAGACATTCAACAACAGCTTGAGCAAATGTTACGTTGAGTGAGCGTTGAATAAGATGCTGGTTCTGAGATTGAGTCTATCTTTTGGTTTATCTTGTTCACACTTACATAAAAGTAGTAGCACATGTCATTGCCTGGATAGTAAATCTAGCCCTCGGGACAAGCTACACTTTTGGTTCCAATCTGTCTTCTCACTTTTATTTATAATTCACTTGCATCACTCTCGGGAATAGCACAAATAAAAGTAATGCTTTCATTAAATGGTACGGAGATCCATTGATAAGTTCTAGCATCCAGAAGAGCACATGAGGCATTTGCTAGTGGATCACCTGAACAGGGAAATAGAGAATTGATCTGGCTGATTAGTTAGTGCAAAGCTTGTTTGCCGACATAGTAGTAAACCAATCAATTCTACCTTTTTAATAGCTTAGAACAAACAAAACTAACCCGATCTCCAATACTGATATCTTAACGGAGTTCCATCATCATATGCCCATGTTCCGTTTACACTTTTTACTACGCCAATATATGACTGAATATTTGAAATGATTGCTAAATTCTGTAATAAAAATAATGTCAAATTTGCTATTCTACCCTTCTCTGCTTGAGAACCAGTCATCACATTCTTAAAGAGATTCGTGATTTGAATGGGGTTGCCATTGTATTGTTGACAAAATTGTCGTGCAAATGAGTAAGTGCCAGCTAGAAGAGAAATCAAACTACAGTCATGTGCAAAAGTCTTTTCACACTCAATTTTCTAAAAAGTTTCTTCGATTTTCTTTGATAAATTTCATGGTTATCTTTAAGCTATTAATAGTTTTAGTTACACAAATATATGTACAGTTTATTTACACAAACGCTGTCGCTATACAAAACTTCTTCATCGAGAAAAAATATAATTGTCAAAACACCCCTGAAAATCGTGGTGCAAAAGTCTTTTAACATAAGACGAAATTAAGCTATAATCAATCAATTAATCAAACAGCAAAGGCAAGAGAATTACTGCTTCACGCGACCTTCATTTACTCCGTGTCAGGTCAACCCCGGGTGCAATTTCAACCCCGAAAACCCTGGGTGCAATTTCTCTGTTCAAAATTTTGATGTTTAAAATTCAAAAAAGAAGATAGCTGTGAGTTCCCTGTGCGTGAGCACAATCGCACTCGATCTGGCATACTTCACTTGCAGATATCGTTCTTTTTTGACTCGTTCAATCGGGAGCGTCCATTTTGGGTCATCCGGTAACCAATCCGTTGTCTGCCCCATATGGTCACCGCTTCCCAAAACTAACTTCGGCTGTAGAATTGGCAAACCCAGTTCCGGCTCATTTTGGCCACAAAGATGGGTTCTCCGCCGGTCGAAATGGGATCCCAAGTGCCTGTAAAAGGGTGCTGAAGGGAGCCGCTGTGAATTTTTGGATTCATCCCAAGGATTTCGGTCCGCAGGGGCAGCAAAAACTCATGAGACGGCACTACAGGGTGCCCCAAAGAAAAAATGGACTTCGGGTCAAGTTTTTAAAATATTTCTGGTGGTTCAAGGTTCTTTGGGGCACCCTGTAGTGCTGTCTCATGAGTTTTTGCTGCCCCTGCGGACCGAAATCCAGTCATGTGCAAAAGTCTTTTAACACTCAATTTTCTAAAAAGTTACATCGATTCAATTCTAAAGTCGAGCTATGGTTTTACATCAGAAAAATTTGGAGGACGATTGGATCTGGAATTCTTGATGACTTAATTGCATTAATGTCTACTCGTATTAAAGAAGTACTTTTGGCAAAAGAAGGAGCGACTAAATATTGATTAAAGCTTAATTTCGTCTTATGTGAAAAGACTTTTGCACCACGATTTTCAGGGGTATTTTAACAATTATATTTTTAAAGTATTGTATAGAGATAACATTTGTTTAACTAAAACTATTAATAGCTTAAAGATAGCCATGAACTTTATCAAAGAAAATTGAGTGTAAAAAGACTTTTGCACGTGACTGTAATTGTAAATTATTAAATTGATTCAAGAAGAATCCTTATTCGAAACACTTACTGATATTCACCGCATAGATACACTCATTTCTATCTGCATAATAGAAATAACCAAAAGGAGATTGAGCTGCCAAGATTGACGTTAAAGAATAGAGTAAAGCTATAATCAGAAAACTATACGTCATGGTTGAAAAATTTTACCCCAATGGGCCATTGAACAATTTATATTAAGATGCAAAGATAAACTAATCTATTGTTGGTAAATTTCTTGGAAAGAGTACAACGAAACACTTATCTCAAGCTTGTTTGCCAAAATTTAAGCAGAGTTTGTGATTGCTTGGAGAATGCAATACTTTTTCACTTTTCGCTCATCACCCTTTCATTAATAAGGTTTTGCATGAAATAACAATCAATTCAAGCAGAAAGAACCACCCTTTTTACAGTGCTATTTAATATTTATTTAAAATTTATATTTCAAAGAAAATCAAGTGCCAATGACTGTAAAATGATCATGATTCGTGGGAAGAGCCGAAAGCTAATCATCATGATCAAAGCACGCATTGCTGGTCGGCTTTTGGCAAACCTCACCAAGTTGGTCATTACTTCTGAAGAAAAATAATAATTGTCTAGTTGGAATGTTGTTCTATCACAAATATTTTACTTGAAATCTGCTCAGCTCATTCCAAAAACAAAACGCTCACTTCCCCCACATTAACCGTGATTCGTAGAATAGTAGCGTTGATTTCTTTGCAAACGATTTTTGCCACAATTCAAATCCTTAATCCTTCAGTATCCCTGTAGCGCTTGTTTGATTGATAAATAACTCACATCTGGTGCCATAGAAAACATAGTAAATGAACATTTTGTGCCTACAAAGCTCCCGATTCAAGTTTTATTCTTGATCAATTAGGTTTTCGAAAAATAGATCAATAGACGTTATCATTTTATAATCAAATTCACACTCAGTTTCATATTTCCAAATCATTTACGAATATTCTTGTCAGCGACTAACACTTTCATAATGATTACCAGGGAAATATTAGAACAATAATAAGATGAAGATTAGAGTGTGTTCCTTTCGACTAACGCATTTTCTAAAATGCACCTATTTGAGAAAACCACCGTAATCAAACTGCCGATTTACATCCGATCAGCTCAATTTTGGTATCATTTGGCGAGGAATCACAAGGCTCAGCCAATGATTTAAAATTTGGATTGATCTGATGAAAACTAACGGTTTGACTACGGTACTTTTCTCAAATAGGTGCATTTTCAAAAACGCATTAGTCGAGGGGAACACACTCTAAGGAAGATAGATGATGTTCAACAAAAAAAACAAACAAATGTTCAAATAAAAAAACGGGAGCTGAATAATAATGAGACCATTAAATCAATTTGAATCTAGAATTTTGGAGTGTTAAAATTCTGCTTTTTCACTCAAAATTAGAAGAAATCGATGCACACATAAAACTGCTTAAATCCTTGATTTCAATTTTATTTTCTTTCAATCAAAACGGATGTAGATTCAGTTCCCATAATTTTGTTCTCTTGGACGGGCATTTGTTGCTTTCCACTTCCACATTTGTTGCCTTCCACTTCCATATTTGTTGCTTTCCACTTCCACATTTGTTGCCAATGGGGCTTTCCCTTCTCTGAGATGACAAGTTGAACTTTTAAATCATTCCAATTATATATATGGTTGAATTGAGTTGAAAATTGAACAGATTTTCCGGGTAAAGTACAGTTTTTAGAACATAATCACATTCTAGACCTTTTTCAAACCCAACAATTCGAGTCGGGGAAATAATATTTCTTTTTTTTGTAGAGAGAAAATGTTCAAATTGAAATCGCAGAGAGAAAAGCTTTTCAATTTTTGCTTTTTTTTCATCTCATTTCTTTTTATTGAACGTTACTAGGAAATTTCTCTGACGAATATTCTTTTTCCGTCATGTATTTAAAACACCTGCTGAAACTCGATGAAAAACTTTCATTTTTAATTTTTTACTTTTACTTTTCAAATCACAAACTCTTCTAAAGCTCCTTTTACTTTTACATTCTTTTCATTGAATAAATTCTTCTTGAATTTCATTGAATAAATTGAATAAATCTTCAAAATGGCCGTTGAATATAATGATACAATGGAAGAATTGGTTGATCCCGTGGAAATCACATCATCTACTATATTTTTGGCAATCGGAATACCCACCGTTTTTATCTATTTGAGGATTTTAATGCATTTTTGTTCAAAAGGCTTTAAGACGCAATTTCATCGACTTTTTCTTGTTTGTATTACAACGGTGAGAGAGTTTTTCTTTTGGAATGAAATGGGTTATTTTGCTGGGCAAGGAAACCAAATTCCTTGTATTTTTAGTGAAAAGAAATCCAAATAAAGAATAAAAACGTTAGCTTTGACTTAAAAACATTATATTATGAAGTTTTTAATAGGCAATAAGCGACGAAACAAAAGAAACAATAGAAAGAAAAGTCTTGTAATTGAAAGAGTAAGCTAAGCTAAGTTTAACTCGTTTTTAAGCGGCTAAGAATAAGGGGATTTCTTGGAAAATGAAGTTCTGCATGATGTTGACAAAAAAAACCAAAAAGCCAAGGCTAGCAAAGCCAAGGCTAGCAAAGCCAAGGCTAGCAAAGCCAAGGCTATCAAAGCCAAGGCTAGGAAAGCCAAGGCTAGCAAAGCCAAGTAAAAGTCAATCGCTTTCAATTGACCTGGACTTTCAACGATATCTTTAGATCAATCAGCTTAAAAACTTTAGGATGCTCTCTCCTACTTTGTTCAATTATTCACAATCCGTCTACCAACTTGGGGAATTATTTATCCTTATCGCTATATTATGACGGGTTTTATGCCAACTCTGTTAAACTTTTTGCTCGACTATGTGGTTATTGTGCAAATCTATGGAGTATTTTTGATGGCATTGAATCGAGCTACTTGTATTCTATTATCATATTCACATGAAAGAGTAAGTAAACAAAACAATAATCAATAAAAGTTTGAATAGATTTGGAGAGACTACTTCAAATATTTTCTTTTAACTATATTAATTGTCTCATTTATTGAAACATCAAATCTATTGTTTGCTGGTGCTTATTTTAAGCAATATGGCAAAGGAATGTTTGTTATTACTGCCTACACAAACGATACTAGAGTAACCTTTTAAAGTTTGCTATCTATTGTTTCTTTTTTAAGAAATGGTTCTTGTATTTACATCTAACTTTTGGAGTTATTGGCATTGGATTCTCAGCGGCTCTTAACTGTTTCAATGGTTATTATATAATACGTCATGTAATTCGAAAAAAGAAATCTCAAGCCGAGCTACAAGATTTGAAATTTCATTTTACTACCTTTTTTGCTTTCATCGTACAAGTACTTATGGTTTCTATACAGGTAAAAAAAGTTGATTTATTGGGTTGGTGAATTGAAAACTGCGGGACTTTGAACTAAAATTTATTCAACATAAAATCATAAATTCATTCCAAATAATTTCCATTATTATTGACGACTTCTGCCCATTTTACAGGCAATTTGCGGATTCCTTTTTCGTAGTAGGATTTTGGTTTTGAATCGAAAAGCTTTCAAAGCCAATTTTGAACTGCTTCTTCCGAATCAAAGTGTTCTCTCGCAAGCTGATCTCATGATCCGGAATAAATAGTAATCAAAAGGGGCGAATGTTGGGGAATGCGCCAAAAGTTCCCAAGCAAGGCTGTTTATTTTAGAGCGAGTTATTATTAGAGTCAGTTTTGCAACGTGAGGGCGAGCGTTGTCGTGGAGGAGAACGATCTTTGACTTGGATTTTGGTTTGTGTGTGAGACAAGTGTGAGACTCAAAAATGGAGGACTGGAGATGTCCCAGTAACCCTTTTGAGCACTTTCTTCAAAAGAAACCCATTTTGGTGTCAATAGAAAAGTTGTAGAGAATCAAAAATTAGGCTTATAGCCAAATTTCCAAAAAGATACACTTGCATTTTAAGCGAAACTACTAAGTTTTGTGAAAATTCGTAAATTTCACATTTCTTGAAAAGCAGTTTTTGAATCGTTCTGAGAATTTGGATATAAGCTTAATTTTTGGTTCTCTACAACTTTTCCATTGACACCAAAATGGGTTTCTTTTGAAGAAAGTGCTCAAACTGTCACATATGACCAGAGCCCGCAGTTTTCAATTCACCAACCCAATAAATATGGAATCTAGAAAATGATTCCTGTAAAAGTTTTCATCAAGGTTTTCATCAAAATGACAAGCGTGGATTCTACTGCGAAAATCACTTTACTGATGTACGTTGTCTATACATTTCAGCCAGTTTTCAATGATCTGGCCTCACTACTCCCAATCTGGTTAGTGGCAAAAAAATAAAACATCTGTTTTCAGATTTATCTCTAGACTGGATAAGTCTTTTTTTTCAAAAATTCATAGTTTCGCAAGGTACAAATTGTTTTCTCATGAACAAGGAACTTTGAGACACTTTTCTCGGAATAACAGCATTCTATGAAAGCAAGATATTTTTAACCAAACCTAGCAGCAACCTTTCTTTTTCAAGGTTTGTGATCTACATCTCAGAAGATTTTCGTTGGATGGCTTTCGGAAATTGTGGAGCTGCGAATCGAGATGCAGATGGAAACACAATTATGATCTCAACGGTTTCAATTGAATCGATCACAAATAAAAGCAGAAAACAAAACAGCGGAATATTGCCAGTGCAATAAAAATTAGTAATTGATAACTGTTATTTTGATAAAGTTTTCCAAAGCGTTTTGAAATGCATTTTGTACAAAAGTGTTTTTTGAAATCTAAAACCCAAATTTTTCTTTTCTAGCAGTGGCTTTAGACTTTCGGTCAAACAATCAAAGGAAAGTTCTGCTTTTGATAGGCTAATCTATTCAAAAATTCTACTTTATTTATTCTAAATACAAGGTATATAAATAAGTAACCAGTGCTTTAATAGGTCCGACCATTGTGATTATGTGGGTCAATTTAAACAAGAGTTCCATCAACCTCACCCCAAATCCTCGAAAAACAATCGAAATTTGTGAAGTGTTGAGCTTTTTCTTGATTTGTTTGAGGATAGTTCATCAATCGTCTCTCATTACATTTAATAAACGTTCTGATATTTGTTTATCCAAATAGATGGAAGAATTTTCTAAAGTTTTTAGCTGCTAAATGCTAGAAATAACTGAAATATAAGTCTTTCAAAGTTTTTAGCTTAAAATTAAGCATTTTTGGGGGATTTACAATCTTTAAAGGGAGCTCTCAAACGAGCCGGACGTGTAGCTGTGTCATTAATCTTATATTTGGAAATATGCATTTGTTTTTTTTTTTTTTTTCTAAACTTAAACTAGTTTTTTTAATTCCAGATGGCATTTTATCTTAAAATACATATTTCATCTTAACTGTTATAAAAAAAATGCTTACAAAGAGCTCAAAGTTTTCTTTGTTTGTTTTTTATCTCACATAACATGTCCTTCAAAATTTCAAATGGTTTCTTGTTCTTTATCAATCATCTCTTTTTCGTATCCCATTTTAAAATGCTCCGTTCCACATCAATAAAAGATAAAATCGCTGAAGCTGTTTCGTTTAAAAGTCGGAAACGGTTATTACTCTCAAACTGTTTACCTATAAACACACGATGTTCAAGTATTCACAGATTTTGCTTGTGCTCCTATTTACTATTCATTGTTTTGCCGAATTGAGTGAGTGATACGTAGATTTTATTAATGTTTCTAAGAGAATTGGTATTTAGAGAACGTCTGCAAACTTTTAAAGTATTTAGAGAACTAAAATAAGTTTTTGTTTGCTCAACTTTGATACCAAAACATAAAAATTGCAAAACTTAAGCACAAAACTTAAACAAAACAAAACACAACAACAACTTAAGCACAAAAGCTTTCGGAAAAAGGTACCTTCTAGAATAGAAGTCAATTTGCTTTATGACTCTCGATTTAAGGCCGATCGTCACGTGATACATCTAGCCAAATCGAAGAGGCTTTCCAAGAAATCTCTCATCATTCCATCACAAAACCCGATGCTTTGTTTCTGCTTCGACGAGCCAAAGTCTCTGATCGAGACAATTTCTATTCGTTTGCTGTTTTCCTTCGTCGTGCTTTCATTCAAATCGAAATTGATCATTTGACTGATCTATTCACAAATGGACCACCAAGTCTGAGTTCAGCGGCTCAAGTAGTGGAATTAAAAGTGAGTTCTGTTAGCTTTCTTTTTATTTTCTTTTTTACGAGTCGTTTTTATTGAAATTAGACTGTTGTTGAGGGTTTTTTGTCTGCAAACTTTTCCCACCATAATTTTTAAAATATAATCGAAAGCATATGCCTAGAGTAGAGTCATTTAGTCTAACTTTTCTAACGGTTTTTGCTCATGCTAGCAAAATAGGTTTAATTTTACTTTTTGTACTGTAAAATGAACGGAATTTAAAGCAATCTTTTGGTAAATTAGGTGCTTTTTTTTTCTAGAATTTTTGCCTTTTTCATGTCTAAAAGCAAAGAAATATTATGAATATAATAAAAACAAATGAAAATGAAAAAAAGAAACACTCAACTGATTAAAGGAAAGTTTCTTAATAAGTTGCTAAGTTAATGTCATCGCTTTTTTAATAAAATGTTCTTAAAAACACAAGTTCAAATGTTCTTAGCTTAGTTTACTATCAACTTTATCTTTAAATAAAGTAAATTTGTTCTTAAGCCGACTCAAAGCTCAACTACATCACAAGTTTCGTGATTCTGCTAAAAAATAGAAAGATGCTGAGTTACTGGATGTACAGGGTGACCAGAAATAACGTTGCGGCCTAATTTAGCCTATTTTTTAAAAATCCAAAAAGATTTTGTAACAGAAACAATTTTTTATTAACAACATGATATAAAGGGAGCATAAAATCGACTTTTCTACAAAGTGGCCACCTTTGGCTCCGATGCAGAGCCTCAAAATCCCGCAACGTTATTTCTGGTCACCCTGTATATCACATCTTGAAGTAACGCTAAAAACGCTTAATTTTTTGCGCTTAATTCACTACGGGATGCGCTTCTATTAGAAGAATTTTTAAAAAAAACTAAAATTTACAGGTAAACCAACGAATTGATGCTTTGAAAGAGCAAGCCGATTCCTCAAAAACGATGATCACTGATCCGTTTTTGCAATCGCTTGACGTCGCCGACTTTGCACAAAAGCTGCAAGAACGCTTCCCCGGAATCAAGCAAATCTTTCGGCTTTCCACCGAAAACATTCTGAAGAGCACTGGCGAGAAGGATTACCCGGCAATTGTCGACAAAGTCTTCGTCAATGATCTCTGGAATACTGAACAAATATATCGAGTTTTCTTTGAATTATTCAATGCTTATTATGCGTCTGAATAAAATTTTGAATTCGTTAAATTCAACCGCAAATTATCGACCATTCTCATCTAGTTTTTTTTGTATAAAAAGTTTTTCGTTTCATTTAGAATAACGACTTTCTAGATAAATGAAAAGTCAAAATTGCAATAAGAAAATTGCTGATGAAATTGGAGAAGAGTTTGGGGTTTCTCACGGGATGGTGATTGATCATTTACATCGTTTGGGCAAATCGGTAGTACATACATTAATGCTCTCCTTTTTTTGTGTATTACTGAGCTGTGTGTAAAGAAATCTTCTTTGCTTGCTTGGTACTCTTCACTCAAGACACGTTATTTCTTGTTTCGAGATATCTGATCTCACTTGAACTAAGACACTTTATTCAATCGCCGACTGACTCGAAATTTTTGGACTCTCACTTGAGCAATTTTCACACAAAATCGACAATTGAATTAAAAGCGACGATAAAAACAGAAACAATTTCGTTCTAATTAGGGCACAACTTTCACACAATGAAAGGAAGGCAAAAAAAAGCAAAAAGAAGAAACATCAAATGAATGACAGTTGCCTTATATAGGCTTTAACACAAGATATTCAGCTAACAAGCTACAAAACAATAAACGATTTGGGGCGCGAAATAGAATGGAGGCGGACGGATTTCCGCAATACTTTTCCAATTTTTAGGCTGTCAGAGTTAGGTAACTTTTTAGTGGCTATTCGCCATACTGTGTAAATCACTCATAGGCCCATAAAAATTCCCACACAGATCAACGGAACGGTTGTGTGGGGAATCTATGGAAATCCAAGAAACCTTTCAAGATATCTAAAAGCATACCGTAAATACTGTAATTGGACCCCATGGGGTTTTTCCCCTCTGTGGGGATATTAGGAGGGGGGCACATCCGCGCGAAATAAGGCGAAAAATCGTTTTCTATCCGTTTTCCATGTTTGAATAGCCATTCAACGCAGAAAAATGTGCTGATTTCAATGGTGAAAAAATTATCAAAATCCGTCTGATACATTTTTTAAAAATCGCATTTTATCGAAAAAATCGCACTTTTACAAGCAACTCGCTCGCAGTGACCAACTTTCGGCGGCTCGTTTTCAGCGTGGTCGAAAGATTGCGCCCTCAAAACCGATAACTTTTGTGTGGACCTTTATAAAGATCATTTTGATACCAAAAAAATAAAAATCGATCAACTCTGCGAAGACTTGATGCCTTTTTAAGTTGAAAATGACGTTTTGCGACTTTCTGCCCGCTAAAACGTGGGCAATCGCCAACAACCTATTTAAAGCAGCCAGACATTTATATTACTCTATTTGAATTTGTCCTTTTTCCCAGAGGCTTTTAACTTATATTTAACTTATCTCTATTTAAATTGTTGATAAACAAACTCTTAGTAAGCTTTTTAATAGGTTCGGTATATTTCTTGTTCACAAAGAGACAAAGCCAGACAGCCAGACATTTATATTACTCTATTTACGTGTCAAAAAGCATGAAGTAGAAAAGCCGCGCTTGTTTCCTTTCATTCATTTCCTTATTCTTTTCCGGGAGGGGCACATCGGCGCGAAAATGCGTTTTCTATCGGATTTTTCTGGGAGTACCTTTTTTAGATGCGGAAAATTGTGCTGATTCCGAATCTGAAGGAAATTTTTCAAATCCCTCTGACAGAAATTTTTTAAATTTAGTTTTAGCGAGAGAATTTTTTAGATTTTCTCATTTCTTTTTTAAAAAATGTTATAACTTTTTGTAGAGTTGAGCAAATTTGATGATTTTTGCATCAAAATGTTCTTAAGAGTCTCTAGAATAAAAGTTATCCCTTAGTTTTTGGTTCTAGACCATCGTTGTCGAGTTACGAACCCCAAACTGCAGGATACCACAAAATTTCCCATACAAAATGACCAAAAAACCGCTAAAACTAAATTTAAAAAATGTTTGTCAGAGGGATTTGAAAAATTCCTTCAGATTCGGAATCAGCACAATTTTCCGCATCTAAAAAAGGTACTCCCAGAAAAATCCGATAGAAAACGCATTTTTGCCTTATTTCGCGCCGATGTGGGGGATACTATTAGAGGGGTGAGGTCCAATTACAGTATTTACGGTAAGTATTAATCAAATGCTTAAATAATTATACTAAAAAGCATAAGTGTTTGAGCAATCAAACTTTTATATAATTTTTTCAGAACAAAGAGTACACCATAAAACGGTATCTGCTTTTGGCGTAATGTAACGTTGCTTAATTTTAGCCTAACCTAACCTTGCTTATTGATTCAAATCTACACTTTTGCGTTAAAAGTTTCGAAAAGTCGACTTCTATTAGAGAGTGTTCATATATTTCAATATTTACGGTAATCTGTGAGATACTAGAACATCGCCGTTTCGTCAAGTTTCCTTTGTGCTTTGATTCTTTACTTTTTCGTGTGAGTGATCACAGAAAGCGTTTTGTTTAAGCTTTACTGTAACGTTTCTTCGAAAAGTCTAATTTCGTGAGAAAGCATTTTGTATTTCCACGAATTTTTCACCAACTTCAGGCAACAGACTTTTTTCTTTGACTTCAACTTTGCGATTATTTCATTGATTTATTGTGCCATGTCGACCGTTGATGCTTGTCCACAAATTCCGTTTCTTCAAATCGATCCAACGTTTCGAATTTTCTATGCAGTTTACGTGGTTACAATGGCAATTTTTGGGATCACAACCAATGGGGTGCTGCTGGTGGCAATTATGAAGAATTCGAAGCATTTTCTGAGCATTGATATATTTCACATTACAATCTCGCAGACGATCATCGGATGTGTGTATCTGAGTGGTTTTTTGACTGTGGCTGGTCCAGGTGAAGAGAATCTTTTTACGCCAGTTGAAGCTCTAAAATTCTCATGATTCAGCGAAAAGGCAAAGGCGGGAGGGCCGTTGAATTAACAACTGTTACCAAAAACTGTTATTACAATTTGATATATCTAAGTTTTCTGTTTCTTAAAAGCAAACAAGACTTAAAAACAAAAGATTTACAAGCAATTCTACGAAATTCTACCAATTACGAATTCTACGAAACGCAGATCTCAAAAACAAAGAAAAAGCGACAACGATCTTTAAACATTTTAATAATTATACATTTATTCAAAAAAAAGTGCCACTCTTGGGAGTTTTCTTTTACTTTAATTATACCTTAATCACTACATTCACTCTGAATCACTCAATTTGTGGTTCGAAAAGTTGTTCAGCAAACAAGATCACTATCTCTTCATGCATTTAAGGTACTTGTCGCTTTAATAAGTTCCTTAGATCAATTAATTAATCAATTAAACGCTAAAACGTAAAAATTATAAAGTAAAAATGGTTAAACGTTCAGCTTTTCTGGTGTGCAACAGAGCTTTTTGATACTTTTTTTAAAGTAGAAAAACCAAATTGTTGCCTTGAGATTTTCTCGTAGTTGTTTACTCTTTTACAGAAAAATCTTTCAACTAAACGATCCAGGATTTTATCAGTTTTTTGAGACAAGATACAGTGATTTGCCATTAGCTGATTGAATGAATCGAAAACGATTCGAAAATCGAATTAAACTGAAATGTTTTCAGTTTAAAACAAATCTTCAAGAAATCATGTTCGAGATTATCTAAAAAGCATACCGTAAATACTGTAATTGGACCCCATGGGGTATCATTTTTTCCCTCCCCTTCTAGGGTGGGTATTATTAGCGAGGGGGTACTATTAGGAATTTCAACTTTGGATTTCAATATTTCATTAATTTCTTGTGTCATGTCGACCGTTGATGCTTGTCCACATGTTCCGTTTCTTCAAATCGATCCAACGTTTCGAATTTTCTATGCAGTTTACGTGGCCACAATGGCAATTTTTGGGATCATAACCAATGGGGTGCTGCTGGTGGCAATCAGGAAGAATTGGACGCATTTTTTGAGCATTGATATATTTCACATTACAATCTCGCAGACGATCATCGGATGTGTGTATCTGAGTGGTTTTTTGACTGTGGCTGGTCCAGGTGAAGAGAATCTTTTTACGCCAGTTGAAGCTCTAAAATTCTCATGATTCGGCGAAAAGGCAAAGGCGGGAGGGCCGTTGAATTAACAACTGTTACCAAAAACTGTTATTACAATTTGATACATCTAAGTTTTTTGTTTCTTAAAAGCAAGCAAGCAAGCAAAACAAGCAAACAAAAGATTTACAAGCAATTCTACGAAATTCTACCAATTACGAATTCTGCGAAACGCATCCAGATCTCAAAAACAAAGAAAAAGCGACAACGATCTTTAAACATTTTAATAATAATAATAATATATACCGGGGTTACCGGTGATTTTATTTTACACACGCATATTAACAATTTACACATTAAGACCTAGGGAATATTCTATCGTTTGTGAGGATGGGACGATGTAGGAGATGATGCAGGAGGAGAAGGCTACCCGCTTTATATGAGCTTACGCCTTAGACAAGTCTACCAATTTGGATCGCTGGTTATCCCAATCCCGAGGGGAGGGACCTAGGGGGGGCGGTCTTGGGAACCAGTTCACCATATGGGTGCGGTTGCCTATAGCACTCGGTTCAGGGAAGATATCCCTGACTCATCTGCTGGATCCGAACCAGAGACTAACCGAGCCGAATTTTCATCAAAAAGTTGTTTAGAATTGCAAATTTTATATAAAAAAAGAGTATAATAAGGCAAAAAATACCTGAATTTACGTAATCTGGCGTTGGTTTTTCGAGTCAAAGTGTTCGTTGACAAAAAGTGCCAAAATTTTTAAAGCATTCTGTAGAATTTCTTACAGAAAACTCTATTGATTTTGAGCTATTGGGTTGTCCAGTTATAAATGCGCGTTTTTACTATTTTGCAAATTTCTCAAGATATCGAACAGATGTATATGAGTGTTATATATCATTCGAAAGCTGAAGATCTCCTCTACATTTTGATATAAAAAGCTTTGGAATTCATTCAACTTTTTGGGAAATTGACTGCACAAAGGGAGAGGTCGTTTTCCAAAAAAAACCCCATTCCAGCTTA